ATAGTCGCTCTCGCACCTTGGACACATCCGCCAGACCTCGACCCGAACTTCAGTCCTAAAGGCTTCTGGTACTCTCGTACCATTCCCGAAGCTGAACGCACCAACGCGCTTGCCGTCCTGCAAACACAGGCAACAACACCTGAGTCAGCACTCGTCATCGAAACAACAACTGCACCCGTCACAGCACCAACAACCACCGAAACCTGCAGTTGAAGAACCAACAGTCGTCGCGGAACAACCTTCCGAAACTCCACAGCCCGGTCCCTCCGTCACACCACCACCTCTCATCATCGACATGCCACCGACAGCCGCCCGACAGTTAACACCAGTACCACGCGCCGTTCATCGAAGTGCAGCAACACACGCCGCCTTCTTCACCAACGCAGACTTCTATCAACGCTCCGTCGGTCACAGCGCCTCCGAAGACATCTGGCATCAACGTCTCGGACATCCTGGAAACAAAACACTTTACAACACAATACGAGCCGGAGTGTTAGACAAGAACGCCCTACTTCTTCCCAACGGACGTGAACTCGAACGATCCACGCGGCACCTGCTTCATCTGCCCGGAAGCAGATCTGCCTCACCAACCGTTCCCGTCACACCACAATCCGAGCGCCCCCGTTTATCAACCACTCGAGAAAGTCTACAGCAACATACTATACATACCTCGAACTGAAGGACGTGAAGATCTGAACTACATCATGCACCTTCATCGACGCCGCAACGCGATATGTCTGGCACGTCAACTTACCGTCACGAGACATGGCTCTAGAAGCCTTCACAGCCTGGCTACCTGTCGCTGAAAGAGAATCGGGAGTAAAACTGAAGAGTTTTCAGTCAGATGGCGCGATGGAATACCAGTCACATCGCTTCAAACAGTTCTTGGCAGAAAGAGGCATCAAACGCCTCATCTCTCTTCCTTACGCTCACCAACAGCAGGGTGTGGCAGAAAGGATGAACAGGACCCTGCAGACAACCATGCGAAAGCTGCTACGTGGAACTCGACTGCCCAACTCAGAATGGCCAGCAGCGATGGGCCACGCTGTCCTCCTGCACAACTTGCTGTCCTCGTCTTCACTGCCCAACAACGCATCTCCGCACCTGTTGTGGACTGGGAAGCTGGGCAACACAAAAATGTTACGAGTTTTTGGGTGTATGGTACAATACCGCCCACACACTGCACGCGCAGGGAGATTTTCGCAACGTGCGCAGTGGGGTCTACACCTCGGGCTGGCAAAACATTATGAAGCCTGGCGAATCTTCGACGTCCACACAAAGGAAACAGTAGCAGCACGTGACGTTATCTTCTACGAGCGACTCACCCTCAACCATTACCTGGACAACATCGCACGCCACGTCGACCCCACCGGCGGATTTTCTGGTTCCCGAGCCTTCGCTTCACCCTCCGACGCTGCTGACTGGGAAGAAGAAAACGTCGACGGCGCCTCCGAAGCTGCTGGACCCCTTCCCTACTGCTCCGTCCCAATCCCCATGGACGAGGAAAATCCTCGCGACAGCAACAATGCCGACGTCTACTACCATTTCGCCGACACTGGTTACGTAACACCCCAACCCGTCAACACCGACATCTCTGAACAGTACGGCCCCGGATTCGCACCTGATCCTGAAGCGGGAGACGAAGCAGTCTATCCCGAGGATCCCTTGCTGAACCGTCACACCCCCAGCCGACTCCAAGTCCTGGGACTCGTCGCTGCAGTGCACGGGCCTTCGTCGCCACCTGAAGAGCCTCGCTCTGTCAAGCAGGCTCTGGGGGGGGGAACACAAAGAAAAATGGCGCGAAGCCATGGAAAAGGAGTTAAAAGCGCTTTCAGACCGCAACACCTGGAAGGTCGTCCCTGCATCACTCGCACAAGACAGACCCATTCTCTCTGGAAAATGGGTATTCCGGATCAAAACCAACTCCGACGGAACCATCGAACGATTTAAAGCTCGATGGGTCGTCCGCGGATTCGACCAAGAGTATGGTCGCGACTTCACTGAAACTTTTGCACCAGTCAGTCGACATACTTCCCTGCGTATACTCCTTGCCATCGCCGCCTCACGTCGCCGCCCACTCCGACAAATCGACGTCGCCAACGCTTTTCTATACGCCCCAGTCGACGCTGAAATCTTCGTCGAACAGCCCCATGGGTTCGTCGACGACCCTTCCCTTGTCTGCCAACTACTTAAATCACTATACGGAATTAAGCAGGCACCGCGACTCTAGCAGCAGTACCTGCACGCACGACTTAAACGCATCGGATTCAACCAACTGCCCCATGACCAGGGCATGTATCACCTCACTCACGACAACGACTACGTCCTGCTAATCGTCTACGTCGACGATTTACTTTACATCGGGTCAACTACCACCATCGTCACTTGGTTTGAAAAGGAGCTTCAGACAGATCTCTCTCTCTCAGTCTCACCCAACGTTACGCAGTACCTAGGGCTCAACATTCTCGACGAAGACAACGCCATTCATCTCAGCGCCTCAAAATACGCAAGCACTATCGCCGAACGCTTCTGCTTCACACCGACGCACGTCGCAACACCCTACAGTCACTTATCGCCCAACCCAACTGAAGAAACCAACCTACTGCCGTCTGCCGGAATCCAGGAATATCAACAGAAACTGGGCTGCCTACTCTTTGCCGCCGTTACGTGCCGACCGGACTTATCCTACAGCGCCAGCCAGCTAGCGACCTACCTCAAGCGCCCAGAACAACGTCACCTCAAGGAACTCAACCGTGCCCTTCTCTACTTCATCTCGACGCCAACAGTTGGCCTAACCTATCACAAGAGCACGACGACCGACCTAAAACTACTCGGCTACGTCGACGCTGATCACGGTGCTGATCGTGTCGATCGTTGCTCTCGCACCGGCTACATTTACCGTCTCGAGCCCGTCGGAACTATCTCCTGGCAATCAAGTAAGCAGGAACTCATCGCACTATCATCTGCTGAAGCAGAGTATATTGCTCTCTGCACTGCTACCAAGGAAGGTCTGTACCTGCGCGAACTGCTGGAAGAAGCGAAGATTGCGAAAGTACCCAGCTTCTCGCTTTTCTGCGACAACCAGTCCGCGATACGGATCGCGAACAAGAATGGCTTCGCCAACAGAACCAAGCATATCGCACTGCGATACTTCTTTGTGAAAGACGAAATTGAGAAGGGAAAACTCAAGCTGGACTACTGCCCGTGTCAGTAGATCTGCACTGTGGATGCCCGATTGATCCTGGAGAGGGTTACAGGCGCGTTCGCCTGGGGGGTTATGGGCGCACTGACCCGCTACTGAAACAAGCCCTTTTATCCCAATGGTCTAGTGGTTGGGATTCTGACATGGTATCAGAGCGATCTCGGGTTCGATTCCCGGTGTATGCACATGTAGGCCGTTGCCGCTGTGCTTAGTCCTGGGCCTCCCAGTGTGGGGGGGTGTCAGTAGATCTGCACTGTGGATGCCCGATTGATCCTGGAGAGGGTTACAGGCGCGTTCGCCTGGGGGGTTATGGGCGCACTGACTCGCTACTGAAACAAGCCCTTTTATCCCAATGGTCTAGTGGTTGGGATTCTGACAGCCCGACCACCGAGATGGCAGCAGATTATCTCACCAAGAAGCTACCAAAGGGGAAATTCGAGTACTGCATGCTGCTCACCGGATTGGGCCACGTCACCGAAGCTGACCACGTCGACACTCCAGAAACGAAGGGGAGTGTTGGGAATATAAACGCATGACTTGCATTTCTGTAGTATCGAACCTCACCCGATTCTGAAGCACAACAAAAGGGGTATGAAGTCGAAAAAGGCGCGTACCACATCAAACCGCAACTGGAGGTTGCGAGCTGTAACCGCCTGGAGGTTACGTAACAGCAAGCGACGCTTCAGTGAATAGTAACCACCTCGATAGTCGAAGCGTTACGCGTCTCGATAAACATAACCGCTTCCTGTAATCTATCTTTCCTATATATTCCTGTATGCTCTTTGCTTTAATCAATTACTTGTTCTCACATACCAGCACAAGTACATTCACTCAAAAGACTTCCGCTGTGCTACTCTAGCACCTACTAGCCTATTCTCTGCAAAGATCCTAAGGCTGAAATCCTCAGCCCAACAGAGTAGGGGTAGTACCGGGAGAGCCGTTGGAGGAGCTCCTCTCCTTTCTAGCAGACATGTCTTCTTGATGTATTAAGTGTTGAAGAAAAATAGTAACTTTTAACTCTAACTCGCTCTCATACCATGTTGGGCTGAGACGCCCTAGGATCTTTGTAGAGTTAAAGTCTGAGTAAAATGATGTAATAGCGGAAGCGTTTGAATAAAGACTTTGAACCACCTTGCGCTAGTATGTGAGGGCAAAGTAAGTTGATTAAAACAAAGGGATACAGAAATATATATGTATATGAGTACGGAGAATATGAAGAGACATTATAACTACCGTCAGCCCCCGGATAGAAGCGCCCCTGTGCTTATAATAAAACACTGTTTTTTGGGGGGTGCGCTTATAATTGAGGAATTTTATAAGCGCCGGCGCCTATAAAAAGGCAAAATTGAAATGGTTTTTTTTTACATGTATTTAAAGCCTTTTCAAACGGGGATTCAATCCACATCTAGAGCGTTCGAGTTTGTGCATGAAACGCGCGTCAAATTGCAAACAAGGCGCGGAATCACGCCCGCCCCGCCTTGCTCGCCAGGCCAGATTCATCTTACCGAATCTGGCCCATGCCAACGCACACGCAGTTTAGTGTGCGACTGCCCAATCAGGGCCGACTGTCGTGCTAGCCACGACGCAGTAAAACCACAAACGGGGCAAGATTCCTTGCCCCGTACGCATGGACCTCACCACATCAGCTCCTCTGCGAGGAGATCTTGACTGTTTCTCCCCTTAGCCTGCAGAGGAACCTGGGCCGCGAAGTTGGAGGGGTCTCGGGCAAGGGTTTCAAACATGCTTCATTCTCCCTGTTTTTTTCAGATTTCTTGTTTCCCATCGGCCTGCCTTAGCTATGGCGGGCCAACCAGGCACCCATTTCCTCTTTAAGCGCCGAGGTGCTGCTGACAAAGCTCCCGATTACTCCCAGTGGCAGAGTCGTCCAGCGCCAATACCTCCTGCTCCTCCTGCGCCTCCTGCTCCTCCTGCGCCTCCTGCACCTCCAGCGCCTCCTGCTCCTCCCGCTCCGCCTATCGTCGTCATCAACGGTGTGCCCATTCTGCAGCTTCTCCCTCGTGGCTACTCTGCTTTCGATGCGTACATCTCCGAGCCCGAGCACGAGCCCGAGCGCAGCGACGAAGATGAAACCGGTCCCGGTCTTTCGCCACGTTGGGGAGACCCGGAAGACTGCCCGCACGACGAATCCGCCACCGGTGCCGAAGACGATGTTGAGTGGTGGGCGGCCGACGGTCTTCCCGAGGACTTGCCTGTCCCAAGTTTTCCCCCGCCCAATAAAAAAAGGCCCCACCCCTGCACCCAGAATCGTGATTCCCGCCCCTCGTCTCCCAGGAGCAGGCGCTCAAGGCACAAGCGGCACTCCTATACTTCTCAGGAGAAGCTGCACTGGATTTCACAGCTGGAGTCCGGTGCCGTGAGTATGCGGAAGATGGCACGCGACTCTGGTATCTCCCGAAAGTCCCTCGCAGTATGGAAATCGCGGAAGGGTGAGCTGGAGGGCGCGCATGGGGCTCGCAAGCGTCTTCACGGGCGTGGTCGGTCGTCGTGGTATCGCGACATGGAGATCCAGGTCTACTCACGAGTACTTGCCGCCCGGAAAAAGTGCCTCGCAGTGTCGGTCGGCCGCCTGCAGCAGTGGTCGCGAGAGGTGATGAAGAGCCTGCATCCTGAGGTAAAGTGGGCGGGATCTCAGAGGTGGACCGAGCGTTTTCGGCGCCGCTGGAATCTCACTACCCGAGCTAAGACCCGTGTCGGCCAGAAACTATCCTCCGGTGAGTGGGCTTTTTGAATTCGCTCTTGTTTATCCCCTTTGCCAACCGGTCGATAGTTAATGTTTTTTTATGGTTTCTGCCTCCCCGTCCCTTCCAGAGTGCGAGACGCAAGTGCGAAACTTCTGGAAGTTCGTGCGACACACCCGCCGACAGTACGGAATCGACAACCGCTGGATCATAAATGCTGATCAGACCCCGCTCTGGCTCGAAATGCCAGCTGAACGCACTGTCGAGGAGGTGGGGGTCCGCTCCGTGCCCATCCGCAGCGGCGGCTATCAAAAGGAACGCGTGACGGTGATGCTTGCGTGCACCGCCAGCGGCGAGAAGCTCAAGCCCTGGGTGTTCTTTAAGCGCAAGACAGTTCCAAAGGGGAATTTCCCCTCCGGTAAGCCGAGCAGCTTGTGCAGTCCCGGTAGCATTTGAATGTGTTTTTTTTTTTCTGATGTCAATCTCAACGTTGTGCGGATGTGCAGATGTCGTGGTCGCCGCACATCCCAACGGTTGGATGGACGCGGAAGGCGTCCTCACGTGGCTCGACGGTACGGTGGGCCCGTACGTCAACCCGAGGTTCGGAGTGCGCAGCAGGAGAGCGATGTTGGGGCTTGACTCCTACCGCGGGCACCTGACTGATCAAGTGAAGGTGAAATTTGGCGAGCTGCGTATCGTGCCGGCCGTCATACCAGCTGGCTGCACATCGGAGGTGCAGCCGTTGGACGTCGCGGTGAACCGCTCCTTCAAAGCAGCTGTGCGACAACAATACCAGCAATGGTTCGAAAGCGAGGGTGTTGACTGCCTGACTGAAAGAGGTGAGATTGAAGATTTACCGGTAGGACTATTTTTTAATTATTGACCCTGTTCTACCGTAACTGATGAATCTTTAACGTGTGGCAGGCAACATCCGCAAGCCACCACCTGAGCTGACGCTCAAGTGGATCTCCAAGGCCTGGAAGGCGGTGCCCAAGGAGTTGATTGAGCGCTCGTTTCTGACCTGCGGCATCAGTAACGCCTTGGACGGGTCTCAGGACGGTCTCTGCCTGCAGCACCGGCGGGATGCCGTCAAAGGCGAAGTGGATCTTGACGACGAGATTGCAGCAGATGGATTCTGCTGCAACAACGTAGACGAGCCAGAGTCGGACGGTGAGACCGCCGACGAAGGCACTGCCACTGCCGAGGAGGATGCATAGGTTGTGGGTAAAGTACGGTAGAAATGTGTAGGACGTGATAATCTGATAGAAAATGTAGAAAATGCGAATATGTAGTCAGATATTAAAAGAAAACGTAGGATACAAATTGTAACAGCGTAAAACTTAAAAATGTAGAATTTTAATGGTGAAAATTATAATGTGTAAGGTAGTAGGGGTGCGCTTATAATCCGTAAGGCTTGAAGCATGCGCTTATAATCGAGGAGCGGATATAAGCGCCCTCATCCTTTTATAAGCGCCGGCGCTTATCATAGGCATGCGCTTCTATCCGGGGGCTTACGGTACTTTACTGTTGCGGTTCGATACAGTGCGACTCGGGCAACTGCTCAATGTCGAGTCAGTTGTATGTCCTTGCTGTCGCGTTGTATTTGTCAGGTCAAAGGTCGCTGACCTTTGACTTTCGCGTAACCTCCAGCGGTTACATCAACCTCCGAGGGTTGACTCGCTGGTGCTTCGATTGCGTTGCTTCGCTTGTGTCTTAGAGTTTCGACACGACAGAGGCGTTTAGGACTTATTTGTTCCCAACAAGTTCCCCCCTGCTCACTCTTTCTTTTCCCCTGTTCTTGCTCTCCCCTTCGTTGTCCCTATGCCACTCGTTATCTTACAATCTGTTTATGCTCCCCTGTCTGCTCCTTTGCACCTCCCCACTCCCTTCTGTGGTGCAGGTAATTGTGCATGAAGCAGACAAGATGGTAACTACCAATAGTCGATCTTAGGATAGTGTGGACCCTCTCCATTTGAGCCTACGTGGATGTCATGTTATTCACAACAGAATATTCATTCATTTTCAAGTTCGGGATATCTAAATGTTTGGTTTTCTGTGAAGGTCTCCTTTTGCATCACTGCTATACATAGAGAACAAAACAGTGCGCCACCACTCCACTTAGTGCCTCAGCTCCTCTAAGTGCTCTTGCGCCTGCTGCTGCACCCTTGCGCCACGAAACATGTGAAGGCACGGTTTCGTCCTACACATAGCAGGACACCAGTGGAGGTAGCACTCTCACTTGGTGATGCAGGGAGGAGAGATGGGAAGGCAGGGAGATAAATAAGGGAGGCAGGGAGGTGAAGAGACGCGAATGGATGGGAAGGGTAGGGAAGGGAAGGGAAGGGAAGGGAATCGAAGGGAAAGGAATAGAGGTAAGGGGAAAGATAAGGGAAGGGATTGGAGGGGAATGGAAGCGTACGGAAGGGAGGAGTAGTGCATTGTGAGGGAGTGAGAAGGTGCTCTGTGAGGGGGAACGGGAAGGTGCGACCTGGGGGGAGGGGAAGTGCGACCTGGAGGGAAATGAGGGGAAGCAGGGGGGGAAATGAGGGGAAGCAAGGGGGGCATGAGGGGAAGCAGGGGGGGAAATGAGGGGAAGCAGGGGGGGGGGGAGGAGGGGTGAAATGAGTGCAAACAGGAGGGGAATCTGAGTGCATGGGTTTGAGCTGGGGGGAGATTGAAGGACAGGGGCGAGGCGGCGCTACTTTAGATTGCGAGCCGCCTGGTCACACGATTTTAGAAGAGCTAAGGCGTTAGGCCAGCAAGCAATTCGCTAAATGCGGATCATGAGACGCGTTATGTAGAGTCAACAATGTGGCGGCAATGAAGAGGCGGCGATGTGGCGGCAATCTGGCGGCGATGCGCCGACGAGAAGGCGAGGCGTCGCACGGCCACGACACAAAGCAGGGGGGAGGCGAGTTCGGCGGGGAGGCGAGAGGCTGTAGAGGATGTGAGGTGGCGAAACGACGAGGAGGCAGCAAGGACAGGAAAACGACGCGCCGCGCAGGCGACGACGTCACGAGCTAGCCGCGATGTCGCCATGCGGCATGCGATGAGGCATAACCATGTATCCGTGAAAGAAAGAACACTTTACTCGTGGTCTACATCGTTGTGGCGCTTAGGGAATGCTTGCGTAGCTGCCTTGATTCGAAGTTGTGTGGTTTCTAAGCTTGAAGCTATCCCTGGTTTATCACTCGCTTTATCTCCGCTTGCTTGTCGGATCCCAACGCTTGATTTCCGCCTTCCCGCGCTGTGTTCCCCCAACCCAACCTTTCGTGCGAAATTGGTTTGTATCGCCTGCCTTGTTTCAATTCCTCGCACCAGCTTTACGCGCCCTGCACAATTCGCCCTCAAATCAGCAAGCGCCAAAGGGTGTGCACTGACAATGCACCCAAAAACCACCCCTAGGAATGGGCACCCCTGCTTTAAGGTGTCAACTCAAACTATCAGTCTCCATCGATTTCGAACCTATCCATGTACCGTACCGTACCCAAGGGCGTGTTCCTATGTCTCTGTTCTTGTCAGACTTGCCTGGTACAATGTGCGAAGAGCTTTGGGTTTATGCGGGTGTGATGCAGCGCGCTGCGCGAGTCTGATAAGAGGTTGGCCTGATAAGGGGTCATAGGAACTCGCCCTTAGAGCGTGTTCCTACACCTCGTATCAAGAGAACCTCATATCAGGCTCACACTGAAAATTCCCCTAAACCCAAAATCTCGCTAGCTTTACCAGGCAAAAAGTACATTCTTGATACGAGCTTTCCTGATACGAGGCCATAGGAACACGCCCTTAGACGATCAACTACTAACATGCAAGCACAGTGCACAATTTGCAGGTTATGTGAGGTTACATATGAAGTGCCCAGCTAGCAAGAGGTAACCATACGACAGGTATGTTACATGCAGTGAGCAAAAGGATTGTTGTACCGCATCTATGCTGAAAGAATTACGCTGGAACGGAGCCAAGTATCCTTAATGGTTCTTCTCCGGCGGCGCTTCACAAGCAATCCTCTCATGTGGCCCGCACCGCATACCCCCCCCGTGTGCCCCATGCAACCACCATCCCTTCCAGATAATCACTTGGAACGGAGCCGAGTATCCTCAATCAGCAGGCGCATGAATCGTCTCCGGCGCTTCACAATCCTCCCAGCATCTGTGGCAGTCGCAATCCCCATCTCGTCATTTGTAAATGCCGGCACAGGACCAAAGAGGCAGTAGGCCAGGATAGCAGCTGCAACCAACCCACAAGGTACACACATATGTGATACGTAAGATGCACTAAAACACAACAGGCAGGCTTTCGCATAAGCAATAGGTGCCTTAAAACACAATGGACGTGTACAGGCACACCGAGGTGGGTCATGAGAATGAAGCACCACCACGCATTAACAGATGGAAAACACAAACACAATACAACGACAAAAATAAGCACACGAAATGAAAAGCAGCACTGTAGACTGTACACTGTACACTGTACGCCTTACCCAGCTCATGAATGGCGAGTCGATTCGCAATGCGGTTCCGCAGCAGCGCCTGGATGAGAGCCAGCAACGAGTCCACCACACCCAGCTGCACCGCACCCAACCGCTCCGCCAGCAGCGTAGCCGCAGCACCCCTTGCCCACCCCTCCCTACACGCCACCTCCTCCCCCACACTCGGGGGAATAATAGGCTCAGGAAGGGCTAAGAGGAACGAGACGAGCGCACGAGCCATGGTAAGCGGGGAGGTTTCGGTGGGGAAGGGTGTGCCGGTGTCGAGTGCGAGACGGATGGGTGCAATCTGCAGCTCCTGAGCTACTGCACCCAGTGCTGCTGCCTTGGCCGCTAGGAACTGAGTCGACCCTGGCCCGTCCCCTTCCCCTGCCCCTGCTCCTCCTGCTCCTCCTGCCCCTGCTCCTCCTGCTCCGCCTCCTCCTGCTGCCGTGGCTCCTCCTGCTGCGAGGTCTGCTGCAGCAGCGCCCACTGCCCCTGCTGCGGCACCCACAGCGCCAGCAGCAGCAGCTACAGCCAGAGCAGCAGCGGTAGAGAGCCCTGCCACCCCGCCCCGACTCAAGGTGCGGGATAGCTGAGGCAGCACACCGCCTGCACCAGCCCCAGCACTGCTGCTGCTCCTGGCGAAGCTGCTGCTGCCGCCAGAGCTGCTGCTGCTGCCAGGGTTGCTATTGAAGCTGCTTTCCGGGGTGGTGGAGAGGGAACTAACCGCAGCAGACAGCACATCGGACGAGAGACTCGCGCTGCGAGCGTGCGAGAGCGAGTGAGGGTGCCCGTGCGGGGTGGAGTGCGAGGAGGGGAAGGGGGGCGCACGGGTGCTGTCGTCCTGGTCAAGAGAGAGGTCGATGCCGAGAGCGATGGGGTCAAAGGCGGAGGAGATGTCCTGGCCAGAGTCCAGAAGGAAGGTGAGCATGCGAGCCACCTCCTTGGGCACCTCAAACGCGTCTGATGCATGGGATGGGTTTCCAGCTGCTGCCCGTGCCGCTGCTCCTAATGGCCGATCGTCCTCCCCGCCTGCAGAAGCGGAGTTATCGTCGTCATCGGCGTTGTCAGTTTCGGAGGCTTCTGGGATGCTGCCAGCAGCTGTAGGTCGGCTGTGGCGGAGGGAGGATCGCTGGCGTGTGGCGATGGCGTCGAGAGAGAGCGAGCGGATGGGGTCCTTGAGACCTGCTAGGGCCTCCAGGCTAGGGGGTGGGGAATGAGGGTGGAGGGAGAGGAATGGCAGGCATGATAAGGGGACAAAACGGAGGGAATGAGGGTGATGGCATTGAGGGAGAGCGAGCGGATGGGGTCCTTGAAACCTGCTAGAGCCTCGAGGCTAGGGAGTGGGGAGCGGGGTGGAAAAAACGAGGGAAGGACGAATGAAGGAAAGCGGGAATGGAAGGGAATGGGGTTGGCGTGGCAAGGGAGCGAGAGGATTGGGTGTTTGAGGCCCGCCAGTGGCTCTAGACTAAGGGGTGGGGAGAAAGCGGGGAAGGAGAGGAACGGCAGACAGGGGTGTTGAACGGGAGGGGAGGCATAGGAATGGCAGGAAGAATGGAGGAGGGAGAGGAGGTGGGATGAGGGAAACGGTGTTGATGAAGAGAGGGAGAGGCACTGGAGTCGCATGCAAGGGAGTGGGCAAAGAATAAGAACACCCACAGCAACACATATCGCAAGCCACGAATAGCCACACTCACCGCAGGCCCCAGCAGGACGGCACGTAGCTCCCAGAGCACGCCACAAACAGGTCCCCGCCGCCCGCAATCGCGACCACCAAAATCAAATCCAGCAGCCCCCCGCGATCCACCAACAAATCCACCCGCGTGCCCGGCACAGCCACCCAGGTGTGCAGGCTGAGAGTCACTGTGTGGCCTGGTGCCACTGCCCCTGCTGCTGGTTCTGCCACCACCCATGCCCCGCACCCCCCTGCAGGGCCGGGGGCAGCGGTGTCTGTGCTGCCTGCCGGGGCCACGGAGAAGTGCGCGGGCACCGTGCCGAGATTGTGCAGCTCTATGGTTCGCCGGATTACAGAGGCGTAGGGCACCTGGCGGGGGAGGGAGGGGAGGAGGAGAAGAGGGGGTGAGGGTTATGTGGATGAGGGATGGAAGGGTGAGAATCGGGCGGGCACCGTGTCGAGATTGTGGCGTTCAAAGATTCGCCGGGCGACAGAGGAGTAGGACACCTGGTGGGGGCAGGAAGAGGGGAGAGCGAGGGGGGGAGAAAGGGAGAGAGAGAGAAGGGGAGAAGGGACACAGAGAGTTGTTGTGTGATGCTATCATATGCATACAGGTATATCTGACTCACATCCTATGTTCGTACGTTGCACGCGTGGTGTGAGCGTTTGCAAGAGTTTGTATTTGATGTGTTATGGACTTTGTAAGTGTGTGTGAATCTCATCTTGCTGGAACAAATATTTAAAATGTCTTCTTTGTTCAAGAGCGTTCTGGTGAACCAAGAATCATCTCAATCGGATCACGAACGAGAAAGTTACGACCGGTTGAAATTTGAAAGCTATTTTTTTTTTGCGGCAACTTTGAAAACTTGTGGGGTGACTCTACATGGAGTAGGGGCCATTGGCGGTTTGCAATATTTAGCATTTCATTGTAATTGGTGCCAAGTGGTTGGCAGAAGTCAAACTAGGTTGGCAAGTGTGGATAATCTGGGTGAGATCGATGACATGGGTTGGAAAAATGACCAAGATGAAAATTGGGTTGCTATAAGGAAGGGATTTTGTGAGCTTGAAATTGGAGACAACCAGTGTTGTCGTTCATCCAGCTGGGGACACACCACAACCACAGCAGCATTGAACCGCTCTCTCTCCACCGCCTCCACAGGCCGATGTTCTGAGAGAGGCAGCTCCACCCAAAAATCGGCCCAACAGTATGAGACCAACTGCAGCGCATTTCACAACTCACCTCTCAAAACGCCACAGCATGTGCGCTGAGAGAACAATGCACGATCGCCAGCTGCTGTCGTTCATCCAGCTGCCTGCACGCCACGGCCACAGCAGCATCGAACCTCTCCCTCTCACCGCTTCCACTTGCACCGCAAACACCGCCGCCACCAGCACTATTGGTGCCACTGTTCGTATGCCTAGCCCCCAAACACCACACCTTCACACCTGAGTCGCCTTTGAGAGTTTTTGAAAGAGTCACCCCAATGCAACCCCCCAAATTCGATTGCATGGGCACTGAACGAGCAGTGCCGAATCGCCAGCTGCTTCCGTTCATCAAGCTGTCGGCACGCCACGGCCACAACAGCATCGAACCTCTCCCTCTCACCGCTTCCACTTGCACCGCAAACACCGCCGCCACCGGCACTACTGTGCACCTGCCTAGCCTCAACTTGCGACTGTGGTAGATGTGCCTAGCCCAAACATCACACCTTCACACTCCGACTCACCTCTCCGAATTCCACGGCATGAGCGCTGAGAGAGAAATGCGGAATGGCGAGCTGCTGCCGCTCGTCCAGCTGCCGGCACGCCACAGCCACGGCAGCATCAAACCTCTCTCTCTCCACCGCCTCCACCTGCACTGCAAACACCGCCGCCACCGGCCGATGGTCCGACAGCGCCAACTCCGCCCGCGAGTACGACACCAGTTGCAAGGCATCACTCGCATACCCCCCCATGCTGCTCATGCTGCCACTGCTGGCGATCCCGGTGGTGGTGGTGGTGGTGCTGGGGCTGGGGATGCTGATGCTGGTGGGGGGGAGGCTGTCAGTGGCGTCCCCCGAGTCGTACCAGAGGACCCGGTCACACCAGGCGGGGGTTCGGCGCTTCTCCCCGTCCTCCTCGTCCTCCCCCACGTACCGGTTGCTGCCCGCTGCATACTTGTAGGTCGGGGCAAAGAAGATGGGACCCTCTCGCCACCCTGGGAGTGCGCCTCCCTCTGACAGTTCCCACCGCAGCTGCAGGGAGGGGTGGGGAGGGAGGTGGGAAGTTGCGCATCTGAGGTGCCTCATACATAGTGCCTGTAGCCTGTAGGTTGGGGCGAAGAACATGGGGCCCTCGCGCCACCCGAGGAGCGCCCCTCCCTCTGACAGCTCCCACCGCAGCTGCAGGAGAGAGAGAGTGGCAGGGAGGTGGGGAGGTAACGCAGCTAGATGGCCAGGTGCAGCAGCACAGTTGCATGTGGTGTATTCACATTGGGACGAGAGGACCAAGGCCTTATACTGCCTTGGGAACCCCCACATTGTGTCAGCTCCCAGCGCAGCTAGAGGTGAGAGTGAGGAAGTCGGGGAGTTCACGCACTTGAGTTCCATAATCCATCATTCGCTGCAGCTCGCAAGTCCCAGTGGCACACGACTCATTCCTTCCCACTGCAGCACCACCCCTAACATCTCACAGCACACCCAGCACCACGCAGGCACATCATGCTAGAGCATCCCACAGCACCGCACTGCACCGCATCTCACCTGGTCGTGCTGCAGCAGCGCCTCCCAGTCACGCTTGGCCAGCAGTGCACGCGCCTCCAAATCCGGCAGCTCGAGGCGGTAGTTGAGATCTCCAAAGAAGAATACGCGACTAGTGGAGAAGGGAGTCAGAAAGTGTGGGAGATGGGACAGAATGTCTGAGAAAGGAGGAGTGGAAATGAGGGGGGGAGGGTTGGATGGAAAGTAGCTCGAGGCGGTAGTTGAGGTCTCCAAAGAAGAACACGCGACTGGTGGAGGGGTGGGGGGGAAAGAGGGGAGAGGATGGGGAGCAGGGCAGGGCAGAGAGAAGGGAGGGAGGGTAGAGATTGGATTGGGAGGCAGCTCGAGGCGGTAGTTGAGGTCGCCAAAGAAGAACACTTGACTGGTGGAAAGTGTGGGAGATAAGGCAGAATGTCAGATTAGGGGGGAGTGGAAATGAGGGGGTGAGGCTGTTGTAATTTCATATTTCATACAACATACATAGGCTAGAAGTGTAGCACATTTATAAATTGGGGGGTTGCTTAGTGTACCCTCCAACCACATTTTGTGGTTGGTTGGGATTGGTCCTTAGCTCAACCAATCCCAACCAACACACATTTGTGGTTGCTTGGGTCACAAGCAAGCTCACCCATTGGCCAACTTATTGGCCAATAGGGTAAGCTTCCCTCTCATCTCTCTCTTGCTCATTGTTTGTACTAAAGAGCCTCTTGGCTCATTATTCAATGTATCAATTCTAGCTCTCCAACATGGTATCATGAGCTATTGGCTCACGCCTTCATCCCTCGGTCCTTAGGCCACCCTCTCCTCCCCGTCCCTCAGACGTAGTCCTACCACGGTGCTCCCAAGCTCAGATTCACTCCTCCCGAGCTCACATCTCCTCCTCCCGAGCTCCGATCTACTCCTCCCCAGCTCAGATCTACTCCTCCCGAGCTCAGATCTACTCCTCCCAAACTCAGATCTACTCCTCCCGAGCTCAGATTTACTCCTCCCGAGCTCAGATCTACTCCTCCCCAGCTCAGATCTACTCCTCCCGAGCTCAGATCTACTCCTCCCGAGCTCAGATCTACTCCTCAACAGCTCAGATCTACTCCTCCCGAGCTCAGATCTACTCCTCCCGAGCTCACATCTCCTCCTACCGAACTCAGATCTACTCCTCCCGAGCTCACATCTCCTCCTCCCGAGCTCAGATCTACTCCTCCCCAGCTCAGATCTACTCCTCCCGAGCTCAGATCTACTCCTCCCCAGCTCAGATCTACTCCTCCCGAGCTCAGATCTACTCCTCCCCAGCTCAGATCTACTCCTCCCGAGCTCAGATCTACTCCTCAACAGCTCAGATCTACTCCTCCCGAGCTCAGATCTACTCCTCCCGAGCTCAGATCTACTCCTCCCGAGCTCCCATCTCCTCCTCCCGAGCTCAGAATTACTCCTCCCGAGCTCAGATCTACTCCTCCCCAGCTCAGATCTACTCCTCCCGAGCTCAGATCTACTCCTCCCGAGCTCAGATCTACTCCTCCCAAGCTCACACCTCCTCCTCCCGAGCTCAGATCTACTCCTCCCGCGCCCTGCTCTACTCCTCCTGCCCTCAGATCTGCGCATTTCGCGCTCAGATCTGCACATTCCGCACTCAGATCTACTCTCCCGCGCCCAAATCTGCATTCCGCGTGCTCAGATCTGCAACTCGCACGCCCTTGCTAGTCCGACCGCGCGCCCTGGTCGTCCGCGCTCTGCTCGACCGCCCTTCGCGTCCCCGCCCTGCCCGTCCGCACGCCCTGCTCGTCCGCGCCCTGCCCGTCCGCACGCCCTGCTCATCCGCCCTTCGCGTCCGCGCCCTGCCCGTCCGCGCGCCCCAGTCATCCGCACCCTGGCCGTCCGCGCGCCCTGTTCGTCTGCACGCCCTGCTCGTCCGCGCTCCGGTCGTCCACACTCTCCCCGTCCGCGCACTCGTTGCACGCCCTCCTTCCCCGCTCGATGTCCCCCTCCCCTCGTCCGCCCCCTGCCCACCTCCCTGGCATACAACACATCTGCACGCGCATACAGCACATCTGACAGCACATACTGCACACGTGACAGCACATACCGCACACCTGACAGCACATACCGCACACCTGACAGCACATACCGCACACCTGACAGCACATACCGCACACCTGGGAGCACATACAGCACACCCGCCTACGCATACCGTCAGCTGCGTGCGCACACCTTCATGCCCTGCTCGCCTGCGCCATGCCGTGACCGCCCACACCCCACATTGCTTCCCCCATGGCAACAGTCGCGCTGGCATGCATCAGCAGTGGTACCGGTGGGCATGGAAGAGGGCATAGTGGCAGCTGTGGTGGTGGTCAAGGGAGACTCGCAAGATATTGTGGTGTCACGGGTTTGAGCGCAGGCTGCGGCGCAGCAGCAACCTTCTCTCCTCGTGAATATGTGCCTCGCTATGGCCCGACTCGAGGACTTCAGTGTAAACTCTCCACCCAAGCCCACCATGCCCCGAGTCAACCCTTCTCTCTACCTCAGCCTCCTCCTCCTCCTCCTCCTCCTCCTCCTCCTCCTCCTCCTCCTCCTCCTCCTCCTCCTCCTCCTCCTCCTCCTCCTCCTCCTCCTCCTCCTCCTCCTCCTCCTCCTCCTCCTCCTCCTCCGCAGCAACAGCAGCACCAGCAGCAGCTCTGGCACCTCCTCCTCCAGCTCCAGCAGTTGCTCCACCGCTTGCAGCAGCACCTTGACCTACAACCGCAGCTGCCTCTTCCTCCTCCTCCCCCAACTTCCCAGCAGAACTCAGTTCCGCATTGTTCCACAAGCTCCGCCACTTCAAGCATCGTCCCACCTTTCTCATCCGTTGGTATCGCTGGTATGGTCAATCAAGCCACATCAACTGCACCTGCCACATACTCCTCTAGCACTAACGAAACTGCGTTCCAGTCCTCTGTCCCTTCCTCCTCCCTCTCCTCCATTGTCGATTTTGTCCTCGACAGCGGCGCCACTGACACAGTTCTTCGCGATGCTGGCACCTTGCGCCCCCTCCCAACGCCTACCTCCCTCCTTGGTGCCGACAGCAGCTTCTCTATCCCCTGCCATAACACCTCGACTCTCCCCTGCCCACTCTTCCCCTCAGGCACTGTCACCGGTCTCCACATACCCTCTCTTCGCGCTAATCTCCTTTCGCAAAGGTCCCTTCAGCAAGCCGGTATCACCACAGTATTCCCAGCTCATGCTAACTATTGCGCTCTCTACCATTCCGCCACCGATCAGTTCCTTTCTCGCATTCCCTTTTGCCCTCGCTCCCGTCTGTACACCCTTCGGGTTCCTCGCCTCCCCTCCTGTCAGGTCATCTCTCGTCCCCCCCTCCACCCTCTCATCCCACCTCCTCCTCTCCCTCCCACTAACCCGGACCTCCTTCCCGCCCCCCCCTTGACTCCTCTTGCTCCTGTCGCTCCCTCTCCCAACCTGCCGTCCTCCTCCATCACAGGCTAGGTCACCCTAACTTCGCTACTCTACGCTCCTCTGTTTCCACCGGTCTCCTCCACGGTCTCTCCTCCTCCCTCCCTCCCCTCCCCAAATCCCCTGCCCCCCCCTGCACCGTCTACGTTCAGAGCAAGCTCAAGCAGCAGCCGCACCGGAGCTCCCCCTCCGCTGCTGCGCAGCCACTTGATCTTGTTCACATGGACCTCTGGGGCCCCAATCCCTCTCCCACTCGCCAGGGCCATCGATACCTCCTCGTACTCGTCGATGATCACAGTCGGTACTCGTCCGTCTCTCTCCTTCGGACGAAGGCAGATGCCCCGGCTGCGATCATCGCCTGGCTCGAGCGGGCAAATACCCATTTTGGGCGCCCTGTTCGCCGCCTTCACTCTGATGGTGGTGGTGAGTTCCTTAACAACCAAATATCCTCCTACTATCAGTCTCATGGCATTCTTCAGACTTACACCCTCCCTCACTCCCCACAGCAGAACGGTGTGGCTGAAAGTCGTGTTCGAGAGATCACCAAAACTGCCCGGTGTCTTCTTGTCCACGCCTCCTGCCCTCCTTCTCTGTGGGGCTACGCCCTCCTTCATGCCGCCCTCCTTACTAACCTTTACCCTCACCCTCTTCTCCCATCCACCACCCCCACTGAGCTGTGGACGAACAACAAACCTGACGTCTCGTCTCTTCGTGTCTGGGGCTCAAAGGTTTCTGTTCTCCTTCACCCCACTGACCGCTCCCGCTCTATGGGAAAGCTTGCCCCTCGTACCCTTCCCTGCATCTTTCTCGGTCATAACTCCTCCTCACCTGACTACCTTTTCCTCAATCCCCCCTCAGGTCGTCTATTCCGCAGTAGGGATGTGGTCTTTGATGAGTCCACTCCCTACTACTCCTCTCCCCCATCCACTGACCCACTCCCCCGTCTTCCCCGTCCCCTTGTCTGGTCTGACACCACCCCTCCCCCACTACTTCCTCCTCCCCCCATCCTCCCTCCCCCCCCCCCACCGTCGTCCCCATCCCACGGTGCCCCTCCCTCGTCTGGTGATATATTTGACCCGGAACCTATGTCCTCTCCCGTCTCCCCCACACATTCCTCTCCTAGTGCCCCTCCCGCCCCTCCTTCACCTCCCTCGCCGCCGACTCGTCCTTCCCCCCCTCCCCGCACTGTACTTACCCGGTACCCCCATACCAGGTCACGTGACAGTATCCTTGGTGCACCGCCCCCTGTTACCCTCTCTACCTCTACCCTCCCCCCACTCTCCCCTCTCCTTCACCACTTCTTCCAGGCTGTTCTGCATCAACCTCCTCCTGCAGCAGCCCCCTCTGCCACCTCTCCAGCAGCGGCGCCAGCAGCAGCGTCCGCAACGGCACCCGCAGCGGCACCAGCAGCAGGACCAACAGCGGCACCTGCAGCAGGACCAGCAGCGGCACCAGCAGCGGGACCAGCAGCGGGACCAGCAGCGGCACCAGCAGCGGGACCAGCAGCGGCACTAGCAGCGGCACCAGCAGCGGCACCAGCAGCAGCACTAGCAGCGGCACCAGCAGCGGCACCAGCAGCGGCACCAGCAGCGGCACCAGCAGAGGCACCAGCAGCGGCACCAGCAGAGGCACCAGCAGCGGCACCAGCAGCGGCACGTGCAGCGGCACGTGCAGCGGCACCAGCGGCACCAACGGTCATCCGCTCCTTCCACACCTCCCTCTCCGAGGACTCGCATGAGGAGTTCCTTGACCTCCACCTCTGTGACCCTTCCCTTCTGCCCATCACCTTCGACCTTTCTGGAACACCAGTATTCGCATTCTCCTCTGCTCCCTCCGTTTTCATCCCTACCACGTATGAGGAGGCCATGGCTTGCCCCGACGCCCCACTCTGGCTCGCCGCCATTATCAAGGAGCTGGAGGCCTTTGTCGCCAACTCCTCCTTCGTTGATGTGCCTCGCCCTCCCTCCTCTACGAACGTGGTGAAAGGGAAGTGGGTGTTTCGCGTCAAACAGCTGCCAGGGGAGCCGCCCGTCGATAAGGCTCGTTACTGTGCCAAGGGGTTCACGCAGCGGTATGGTTTTGACTTCTTTGATACCTTCTCTCCCACTGCCAAGCCTGCTACTGTTCGCGCAGTGCTCGACCTCGCCGCTCGCCTCAATATGGAGATCCACTCAATGGACGTCTCTAACGCTTTCCTCCAAGGCGTCCTCCGCGAGCTTATCTACATGGAGCGTCCAGCCGGTTTTCACTTTCCCTTCCCTGCAGACTCTGTCTGGCAGCTGCGTCGCCCTGTGTATGGGCTTCGACAGGCCCCGAGGGAGTGGCATGCTAAGCTTGCCGCCACCCTTGCTGAACTTGGGTTCCGCACCTCCCGCTCTGACGCCAGCCTCTTCCTCCGCACCTGCCCCTCCCCGTTCTACATCCTTGTGTATGTCGATGACATGATTCTGCTCACTGCCGACCTTGGCGAATTGGAGCGTGTTAAGGCTGAGTTGGGCAGCCGTCTCAAATGCAAGGACTTGGGCGAGCTGCAGCATTACCTGGGCATGACCATCACTCGTGACCGCTCCGCCCGCACCATCTCTCTCTCCCAGGGTCATTACTTGCAGCAGGTCTTGGAGCGGTTTGACATGGTCCGCGGTGGCGCCCAACCTACTCCTCTTTCTGTCGGGCACCACCTCTCTCCACCCACCTCCCCCTCAGCCTCCTCCCATCCTTATCCCGAGCTCATCGGCTCCCTCATGTACGCCATGATCTCCACTCGCCCTGACCTTGCCTACCCCATCAGCGTCCTCGCTCGTTTTGTTGGCGCAGGCAAGCATACGGAAGAGCACTGGCAGGCCGCCAAGCGTGTCCTCCGGTACCTTCGTGGCACCAAGGACTATGTCCTTACCCTTGGCGGTCCCTCCCCACCTCTTCTCAGCGGCTACAGTGACTCCTCCTGGGCTGATTCCCGGCCAGATCGTCGCTCCTCCCAGGGCTATGGCTTCTCTCTTGGCAGCGGCCTTATCAGCTGGCGCTCCACCCGCTCCTCGGCTGCAGCCCTCTCCTCCTGCGAGGCGGAATTGTATGCCGCCACCATGGCTGCGCAAGAGGCCCGCTGGCTCACCTTCCTTCTTGAGGAACTTGGTGCCCCCCAGCGCTGTCCTACAATTTGGTGTGACAATGCTAGTACCATTCACCTCACCAAAGATGCTGTGTTTCACGGGCGCTCCAAGCACATTGAGCTCCGTCATTTCTTCATTCGCGATCTTGTTCGGGCGGGGCACCTTCGCCTCGACAAGGTTGACTCGGCGGCCAACCTTGACGACATCTTCACAAAAGCTCTTCCTCATGCCGCTCACTCTTTCCTACTTCGTCTTCTTGGCCTCACTCCTCCTAAGTCGCCTCCCGCCTCTTGATTCTAGCCTTCTAGCCTTATGCATGTTGGGGGGTTGTGTTGTAATTTCATATTTCATACAACATAAATAGGCTAGAAGTGTAGCACATTTATAAATTGGGGGGTTGCTTAGTGTACCCTCCAACCACATTTTGTGGTTGGTTGGGATTGGTCCTTAGCTCAACCAATCCCAACCAACACACATTTGTGGTTGCTTGGGTCACAAGCAAGCTCACCCATTGGCCAACTTATTGGCCAATAAGGTAAGCTTCCCTCTCATCTCTCTCTTGCTCATTGTTTGTACTAAAGAGCCTCTTGGCTCATTATTCAATGTATCAATTCTAGCTCTCCAACAGAGGCAGCTCCAGGTGGTGGTTGAGAGAATGCCCAAGAACCTCTGCACGCCCCCACTTGCCTCGCTCCCGCACTTAGCACCAGCAGTCATAACGAGCCTCGTGTATCGAGGCGATTTTCGAGGCGCTTAAAAAGGCAAACCTCACCTTCCCGCACCACTACCAGTCACTCGCGCTCCGTGATCGTTTCTGCCAGCTTGGCAGTCTCGGGATCCGGCAGCTCTCTGGGGAAGGCAGTGCGGAGGAGAATCTCGAGTAAGCCAGTGTTTGAACATGGCCTGCATATCTGTGTATCTCACCACACCGCATACCACTCACTCATGTTCCGTAATGGTCTCTGCCAGCCTGGCAGTCCATGGGTCCAGCAGCTCCCTGGGGAAGGCGGTGCGGTGGAGATTATTGAGTAAGCGAGTTTTCAAACAAGCCTTGCATACCATTGTGCCCCACGAAACCACACACACACCACTCACTCGTGTTCCGTGATGGTCTCTGCCAGCCTGGCTGTCCATGGGTCCGGCAGCTCTCTGGGGAAGGCGGTGCGGCGAAGAATCTCGAGGAAGTCAAATGTGCGGCGGGCAGCGTCGGCGCGCTCCTCCCCCGCGTTGAGATGGGCGCAGATGAAGGTGAATGAGGTTTCGTGCACCGACATGCTTATTGCAACAGAGCCCTGCATTGTATGAGAGAGGGTTTAGGAAGGAGGTGGTATGTATGAGCAAGGTGGTGTGAGGGCGGCATTGGCACGCTCCTCCCCCGTGTTGAGATGCACACAAATGAAGGTGAATGACGTCTCATGCACCGACATGCTCACTGCCACTGAGCCCTGCATTGAGGTGTGAAGGGTGTTGGGCTGATGAGGGAGGTGGAACAGGGAGGTACCACAAGGGAAGTGGCATGAGAGAGGTGGCACGAGGGAGGTGGCACGAGGGCGCATTGAGATGCGCACAGACGAAAGCAAGTGACGTTTCATCCACCAACACACTCAACTGTCACCCACCAAGTTCCGCAACATAGCAGAGGAGGTGAGGAGATAGGGTTGCAGTCATGAGCGTAGCCTGGCAAATGCTCATGCGCATTAGCAGAAGCAGCATTAGCAACAGTAATGGGGCATTTGTTGGATTTGTAAGATGTCTGCAGCTGTGCTTCATAATCAGTGCAGGTCCTTGAACTTTGGGATGGGAGGTGAGGCAGCCGTTGCAGCAGCAGTTGCACCAGAAGTAGGGGCATCAACAGTGGGGAGCAGCAGCAGGAGTCAGCAGGTGGAATGCTAGAGGGTTCACGATTATTTCTAGTGTCTATGGTGGCTTCCCCGTTTCCTTCCCCTTTCTCTTCTCGCTTCAACTCCTCTTCTCATTTTCCCCTTCCCCTTTCAATTCTCGTTCCCTTTCCCCTCCCTCCTCCCAAACCTCTTCCTCTCCCTCGTCCTCTCCCCCTAACCTCTCTTCCTAGCCCCACACTCTCTCTTCTGCTCCCACTTCCTGCCCTCCGTTCACTCTTCTCCTCCCTCTTCCCTGCCCTCCACTACCCCTTCTGCTCCTCCCACTTCCTCCAAGCGCTGGCTAATGCCGGCTACTACTGTTGCTGCTTCTCATGCTGCTGCTCCCACTGTTGCTGCCCCTGCAGCAGCTGCAGCGGCTGCCTCACCCCCCGTCCCAAGATTCGAGGACCTGCACTGATTACGAAGCTCGACTGCAGACGTCTTTAAATCCAACAAATGCCCCGTTGTTGTTGCTAATGATGCTGCTGTTGCTGTTAAACATGAGCGCAGCCTGGCAAATAACCTAACCTCCGGGCATCTGCTTCCACGAATGGCCAAAGCCAAGGTGTTGCCTGATGCAAGACAGCTATTTATCTCTTTCAACCGCACTGCACTGCACTCAACCGCTCACCTTGTTGCCAAGAATGCCCATGAGCCCACAGCCCACAGTGCTGGCCTTGACGCTATGAATGTGCCTCCTCAGTCCCTTGCGCGCCCACACCATCAGATAGACCCCCACCATCTGCCGCCCTGCCACTTTCACATAAGCCTCCTCCACCTCCCCTCCCTCCCACTCCTCCTCCATCTCCCCTCCCCTTCCCTCCTCTTCCCCTCCCGTCGCCCCATCCACTCCTGCGCCTTCCCCTTCCCCAGACTTCCCCCCTACCATCCCCCCCTCACTCTCTCGCACATCCCCCCTCTCCTCCCCCCCAACGCCACCCCCCTCCCCACCATATCCACCTCCATCTGCAAAGATGGGCTCAGCAGGAGTGAGCGGCACACTGATCAAATCTTCAGGCAGGATCTTATCCAGGGGTGCCTTATCTGCATGTTCCCCCTGCTGCAGAGCATCCCCCTCCCACTCAGCTGTAGCAGGAGCAGCAGCGCTAGAATCAGCTGGACTCATGGAGGCAGCAGCAGCAGCACCGCCATGTGACTCTGTAGCCACAGCAGCAGCAGCACTCTCATCAAGTGACCCTTTGGAGGCGTCAGAAGCAGAGGGAAAGCGGAAGCTGCTGCTGCTGGTCATGCTGCTAGTCTCATCATCACCAGCTCCAGCCCTGCTGCCTCCGTCTGCCACTGCCTGCTCTGCCCCATCGACCTTCCCCTCGACGGGTTCATCAGCCTTGCAAGACTCTCTGGAAGCAGCCTTAGCAGCAGCCTTCTTGGCAGCCTTAGCAGCGGCGGTGTTGAGCTGGCGGCGCACGAGGGCCTCCCATTGCCCCACTGCTTCCTCTGAGTCCATCCCCAACACACTGCCCGTGCTCAGCGGGACTATCTCCTGGAAGCTGCAAATGAGAAGGGCACATGGGTGGAACGGGAAGGGACGAGCACACAAATGAGAGGGCGGGAATAGCCTCTTCTGAGTCCATCCCCGGCACACTGCCCGTGCTCAGCGGGACTATCTCCTGGAAGCTGTGGTAAGCGAGGAGACATGGGCGCGAAGGAAGATGCAATGAGTCAGGGACTCCCGTCTGAGTGCTTTCATTTCATCCCCAGCAGCACTCTGCCCACCACGCTCAGCAGGACGGCATGTGGGTGCAAAAAAGGGGTGAACCCAGGTCACACGCATGACACAGCACAGCACAACCCCGTGAGGGGTGATGCGAGCAGCAAGGGTGATGGTATGGCAGCAAGTACCCATGCACTTGATGGCGATGATATCTGCTGGGTGCGGTAGGTGTAGCGAGGGGGGAGACAGTTGTGAGGGGGGCCACGTGGGGAGCAGAGCGGCGTGCAAAACAGGCCACGGACATGGCATAGCAGCACGGCTGTGTGAGCCTGTGAGGGCAGGAAAGAGCAGTTAGCGCCCAGCCAATGGCGATAATGTTGGCTGGGGGCTGCAGGGAGAGCACGTCCGTGAGGTCCAGGTGGGCAGGCAGAGCATGGTGCAACACAGGCCACGAGACATGGCATGGCATGGCATGACATGACATGGTCCTTTGAGGTCAGCGGAGGAAAACCACCCACCCGATGGCGATGATATCGGCGGGTTGCTGCAGGGAGAGCCAGTCCGTGAGGTCCAGGTGGGCAGGCGAGGCAAGGCAAGGAGCGAGACACGGCCACAGACATGGAATGACATGGAATGACATGCCATTATAGGACAGCAATGAGCAACCACTCACCCGATGGCGATGATGTCGGCTGGTTGCTGCAGGGAGAGCCAGTCCGTGAGGTCCAGGTGGGCAGGCGGGTCCGATATGCCCGCCACGTTCCATGTCGCTGTCACCACCCTGGGGCACGGGCAGGCAAGGCATGAGCATGGCATGGGCATGGGCAGATGAGGGAAGCAAGTAACAAAAATGTTGCAACTTATCCATCTTCTCCCTGAAGAGAGAGTTGGCCTCGGCCCTCATTTTGGATCGGATATGCAAGCCACGTTGCATGCGGCTGTCAGCACCCTGAGGGAGCGTGGGCATGAGCATGGGCATGGCATGGGCAGGGCCTGGGAGACAGACGGAAGGCGGCAGCAGAGGTGTTCCTCATCTGAATCGGATTGTGCTTCCAGTTGGTGAAGTTTTTCCTAATCAGGCACCTCAGTTCGTTGGAGCCTGGTGTGCATGAGGTTGCTCCTGAGCCTGGTGTGCATGAGGTTGCTCCTGAGAGTGCGCACGATAGCACGGGAAAAAGCAGGGGCCCACCCAAGAAGCGCACCTGAGCTCTCTGGTGCCCAGAAAGTGGTGCCTGAGGGCGCGCAGCTCGTCTCTGAAGTTGTTGATCCGCAGCAACGCTCTCAACCGCTCCGAACCTGCCATCGGGCACGGATGTAGTAGAAAAATGCATCGTATGGAATTCCAATCATGGCTTCACATTGTGTATCAATCAAGGCACTAATTTATGGCAATGCTTGCGTTGTATTGCATTGCAGGTGTGCATTCAACGACGAGTTTTACGAGAAACGGCATTCCAGGTTTCGCATTGTACAGCTGAGGGTTAGAGACAAAAGGGAAGGGAAGGGCAGAAAACAGGGAAAAGCCTAAAAGGGCATGTGGGAAGGAAGATTGTACGAATGAGCATCACATGGGTTGTGGTGTGTGTGTGTGTGCACACGCGTGCTCATGTGTGTGTGAACGAGCGCGCACGCCACGCGCCGCGTGCGTGCGTGTGCGTGCGTGTGTGCGCACGCGCGCGTGCAAGCGCGAGTATGCGTGCACACTTGTGTGTGTGAGAGTGTGAGGGTGAGAGAATACCAAGAGGCAGAGGTTCCTTCCAGACGTCACAACTGAGCAGCTCCGAGGCCTCCTCTCCATGTGGTAACTCTGTTACATTTCGCAATGTGAGATGAGACAGGACGTTGTTCATCAAACAACGGCACATGTCGTTCACATTGCAATCCGGAAATTGCCACAGGCAACACAGCAGCGCATGTCATGGCGACAGGCAGAGCACAGCATTGGGAGGAGGCAAATGCAGCACCAGAGTATATGAAATTTCTAGTTTCGATTTTCACCAGCAAAATCAGGCGCAGAATGAGAATTGCAGCATAGGCGGAAGAGCTCAACGCAGCACCTGACGCGACGGAATGCCAATCAACCAGCTGTTACCTCAGCAGAGAAGGTGAAATCCGTTACCTAGACAACAAATGCCAATGCGTACGACGGATTAACACGGCCCGGGAGCACCTGATAGCCCCCACTACTCTGAAGTCCGCTTATGTTGCATGTCGACGGGCCAATGGGATCGCATTTATCCCAATCGTCGCATTCCATGCGGCCTTCGTTAACAACGACATTGAATGCGAACGTCGCAAACAGAGTTCAAATCCGCATACCTGATAAGTCAACCTCTGGCGAGTACTCGTCCGCGTAAAATTCGGGCTGGACTTGCCCTAGACCCAACCAGCCGAGCATGACGGCGTTCGCGAGGCTATAAACGAGGAGAACGGATACGAAAATAATACAGCGTGCAGGACGAAATAGCATTCAATTTCTCCGCTGAGCGAATGGACTGACGAGTCACGTCACGAGCTCCTGACCGGGCTCCACGCCGACATGGATGGCTGGTGCATTTGGACTCAGGTGTCCCTTCCCTTGATGTGCGGGTGTGTGTCTTGGCTACCTCTCGCAATTCGCAATCCCTTCGGGGTGGTGTGTGATGTGTTGGTCAATGCGGTTCAGTGCGATTCCACGCGTTACAGAGGTTTCTTCGTGTACCGTTATGGAGCGCAACGCACCGAACGGAACCATGGTACTTGAAACGAAAGCGAACGGCCTGCATCTCGTGAGTTGTGAGCACCTGTTGGGCTTGGTTCGTGAATGCACTCCTGCCCTTTGACCCGAGAGCCGAACTTCGGGTCTCAATCTGCGTTTTGTTTGCGTTCGACCGCGTTCGTCATGCTACCAGGTTCGACCGAAACCGATCGCCAAAAGAAAACAAGCACACCACTCTGCACTGAACTGAATGCAAAAAACTCCCTCAACCAGACAGAACCGAAGCGTTATGAGCGCGAATCGAAGAGCTTAAGGTGTTGGGTTGGGTTTCGTTTCTGGGGTGCTTGAGACGACTATGGAACAGAACAGCAACATCGAGGTTAGCTGCAAGCTCTTTTCAGCGGAATGTGAATGAGCACAAAAGAGGCTACTAGCTAGAGCTGAGGGAAGGTTCCCACGGTTAGGACAAGTGTGAGTCTGCCCACGCGTGTTGCAATTTTCCAATGTTTCTTTTGCGCGTTTGTTCCGTTTCCAAGTTCGAACTTTAGGTGGTTACCTTTTTCGCGAATCTCGTCAAGAACGTGTGACGAACATCGCGAATTTCAGGCCTAATGAAAGTTCGAGCTTGAAATATGAACATGACTCGAGTTGGCGTTGTGAACGGGCGTGAGCACGTTCATGTGAGCGTGTGTGTTTTCGGCACGCACGAACACCATGCGAAGTTGACGACTTCATCGCGAAACATACTACGGCATTAATTTGACTTGGCGAGCAAGTACCAGATAACATAAAGTTCGAATTCTGGTGTTCGACCTTGCGTGTGTGATTGCTTCTTTGCAGCGTTATTCCCGCAATTTTCGAACTTCGCTACAAGGAAAGTCGAATTCCATTCGACTTAGGTTTAAAAAAATCGTCCCCAAAACATGAAATTTGTCCAATTTGACAAAACGAGCACGCCCTTAAGAGTATGTCTCAAAATCTTCGGTCCACGCTGGATCTAGGCGGTCGACGTGGACCAGTCCACCAAACCACCACGGACCCGAGCGTGGACCGGAGCGTGGACCCGCGTGTTTTAACGACGGAAAAGGACTGTATTGGGGAGTCTTGACTGGTTCGGCGAGCTGGTCCACGTCGGACTCCTGAACAGTCGTCTTTTCACGCCACTGTAGATTTCATCAGCGGACCAGTCCGAAGCTGGTTCGCCAGTACGGACTCAACCTGGTCCGGCGGACCAGTCCACGGTTTTGGGGTGCAGCATTTCCAAGAACGGACCGGCTCGCAGACTCGTTGGAAGTGAGACACGTCCTAAAATTGAATGGTTGCGACTCCAGGTCTAGACACCATGTACAAACAATCTGGGTCGTAAGATCCATCATGGTTACTCAATCGAACGTCTGACGACAACATCCGCAAACCATGGAGTGAAGTGCAGTCGAAGGGCAGGGCAACGAATCACTTTTGGGGCGAAAGCGTTTCAAAAATCGAGAAGAAACTCTCTTCCCGTACAGAACAAAAAGTCAACTCCACGCTTGAACAACAAAACTACTTGGAGAAATACACCTGAAAATCAATGCTTGAACTCGCTACGGCTGGCGAAAATTCGTTCTGCTCTGTAATTGGAGGCGAGATTGAAGCCGAATTTGCGAATTTTGAGCATAAAACACTGCGTGTTCAAAGTGGGGAAGTACCTCACCGTGGACACCATCCCGCCGAATTACAAGCCGCGTGGGCAGACTCACGTCTTGTCCAAACCGTGGGAACGCCATCTTAGATGCTGCTCTTACGCTGTGAGCCTATGTTCTAGCTAGCTTTCCGTAACCAGCGACTTTCTCATCTCAGATTCACCATCGCACTGACAACTCCAACGAATTTCCACTTCGCCAGTCTGCGTTGATCGTTCTCCCACTGCTCTTACAACGACCGTACATATTCTTCACGTATTCGTGACGTGTTTTATTATTCGGCGTTCTGCACTGCGACTGGCAGCCCTCACCGTTTTCCAGATATGGGAGCACTGTTCTCAAAGCGCAAAGCTGTTACCGATGTCGATAAGGCGATACTGTCGCTGCGAACGCAGAAGCGGAAGCTAGCGGAATACCAGAAGAAGGTAGGGTCGATCCGCTTGCCGTGATCCCACGGTATTTAGAAGGTGTTAGGATCGATCCACTTGTTATTATCCTTCGATACTTGGAAATTTGTTATCTAATTGCGTTTCGTGTAACCAGCGTAACATTCTCTGTTAAATTCGTCTCGTTCAAGCCTCAACTCCATTCCAGACGGACGCAATATTTTCTATCCCCGTTTGAAGGTCGGTGCAGTTATCGAGCGGGAGCAGGAGGTGGTGCGGCAGATGATCAAGGAGGGCAAGAAGGACCGCGCGCTGCTGGCGCTCAAGAAGAAGAAGCTTCAGACGGACGCGCTCGCGAAATCGGACGCGTGGGTGCTGCGAGTGGAGCAGCAGGTGGGGGATGAGTTGACTTTGAGGTAAGTAGATTAGGGTGGGTGCGCGCGCTTCTGGCGGCGAAGTCGGACGAGTGGTGCTGCGAGTGGGAGCAGCAGGTGAGCGCTTTTTGAACGGAAAAGTGTCGTATGGGGCGAGGGAGGCTTGATTGGCGGGTAGGTAAGAGTGATTCGAAGAGGGAAAGAAGGAGGTGCAAAGTGCGATGATTGATGCTGAAGCGGAAGCAGGTCTATGGGGACGCGCTGGCGGAATCAGAAGCTGTGGGCGCTGCGAGTGGAGCAGCAGATAAGCACCTATCTAACTGGACACGGGGTGGGGGAAAGGGGGAAGGGGGAGGGGGAAGGGTGAGGGGAGGGGGCAGGTGGAGGGGTGGGAGGGGCGCGGAGTGGGGGGGTCGGCGGGGTGGGGTGGTGCGGGGTGGAGGGATTGGGGTTGGGGGGGTGGGGGGTTGGTGCGGGGTGGAGGGGTTGGGGGGGTGTGGGGTGGAGGGGTTGGGGGGGTGGGGTGGTGCGCCTGGGGATCCATGGAGCAAGAGAGATCACCCCTCCCTTTGTACTCCCCTTCTTTCTCCCTTACTCTCTCCATTACTCTCTCCGGTTCTCTCCCCGTCTTTCACAGCTTGCAGGCATCGAGATCACAAGTCGGCAGGCTCAAGTGTTTGAGAGCCGCAAGGCGGGGCACATGGCGATTCAGGAGCTGCAGAAAGAGACGAGTTCGAATTATTCACTCCTCTCTCCCCCCTCCCTTCCTCTCTCTCCCTCGCTTTCAACCTCTCTCTTTCACAGCTTGCAGACATCGAGATTACGAGTCGGCAGGCTCAAGTGTTTGAGAGCCTGAAGGCGGGGCACATGGCGATTCAGGAGCTGCAAAAGGAGATCAGCCTGGAGGACGTGGAGAAGCTATTGGGGGAGTCGGAAGACGCCAAGGCGTTCCAAGACGTGAGTTCGCAGGGCAGGTGGTGTTAGGCGCCTATTTGAAGCACGGGTTTGGGAAGGGGGGTGAAGGTGTCACGGATTTTTCGAGCTGCTGCAGAAGGAGATGAGTCTGGAGGTCGTGGAGAAGCTGCTGAGGGAGTCAGAGAACGCCGTCTGATGGCGACTTGAGGCACGGGGTAAGAGGGGGCCTTGGATCGGAACAATTCAGGGCTGTTGCACAAGGAAATGAGTCTGGAGGACGTGGAGAAGCTGCTTTGCAAATCGGAAGACGCCAAGGTGTTTCAAGACAAGGGTGCATTGTACAACAAATAAAGCAGAGCAGGGCAGGTGGAGTAGGTTACTGAGGCATGTTGAGCAATTTTTGCGGCCTCAAATGGCACAGGCACGCCTGAGGCATCACGTGCGGTGCTTTCCTCCAGCCCGTGCCTAGCTGACGGCAACAGCGCCCACTATGAGGTGCGGTTCAGCCTAGCGCACCCCTTTTTGCACTGATTTCCATTCCCTCGATGACTTTTGAGCCGACTCAAAAGTCAACGAGGTGCGGTTCAGCCTAGCGCACCCCTTTTGCACTGATTTCCATTCCCTCGATGACTTTTGAGTCGACTCAAAAGTCAACGAGGTGCGGTTCAGCCTAGCGCACCCCTTTTGCACTGATTTCCATTCCCTCGATCAACATACCTGGTTCGACCGCTACTCTTTCCAAGGATGTGACGTCGGTGCAGGGTCAACCGGATGGAGCGACGGCAAAGGCGGCCCGAGATGGAAGCACGCAGGCGGGGATGGCAGAGGCAACTACAATGCCATGCGTTGTGTGGCCGCTGCTGCCAGGCGAAGCCATGTGCGTGCATTGGGCGCTCAGGATGAAACTTCGGGAGGATGCTCTCGCAGAACGCAGAGCAGGCCACCAGCGACGGCGGCCGCTGCTTGTGCTTGCGCGTGCTGAGAGAGCATCCTTTCGGGTGTCATCCTGATCGCCTGATTTTCGCAGATGGCTTCGCCTGGCAGCGGCGGCGAGACAACACATGGCATTGTGCTTGCCTCCGCCATCCCCGCCTGCATGCGTGCATCCCATGCCGCCTCTGCCGTCGCTCCATCCTGTTGACCCTGCACTGGCGTTGCATCCTTTGAAAGAGTAGCGGTCGCACCAAGCACGTTGGTCGAGGGAATGGAAAACGGCGCAAAAGAGGTGCGCTGAGCTGAACCGCGCCTAATAATGTTGGCATTGCTTGCCGCCGTGAGCTGGGCGCGGACCGGGGGAAAGCACAGCAGAGCAGGTGGAGTAGGTTACTGAGGCACGTTGAGCAATTTTGTAGGCATGTGTGACGGCTCGGAGCAACACAAGACAGGAGCTGAGCTACAAAAGAAGATTAGTTTGGAGGACGTACAGTGGAGTGGTGAAGTGAATGGCACATGCATGGTCGGATGTGCATGGCACATGCATGGCTGGATGTAGACATGAACAAAAATCGAACCACGGTCGGTTCCGTTCGGTTCGCATAAAGGGCGAACCAAACCGGGATGTTTTTGATAGGGATGAGCAAGGTGGCGAACACCTGTTCGGTTCGCCTCGAACGTGTTCGAGGCGAACCGAACAGGTTTTGTTTTTTAGCTCAAATCGTTCGCCGAACAGTGTTCGATGTTCGCCCGAACACGTTCGTGTTCGGGCCGCTGCTGAAATTTGCCCGCGACGAACACGAACAGTGTTCGAGGTTCGCCCGAACACGCCTCCACAGGCGAACAGCGAACACCTGTTTTTTCCTAAACTGTTCGCCGAACCGAACACTGTTCGGTTCGGCAAAAGAGGGTGTTCGACAAGGGGCGAAGACGAACATGTTCGTGTTCGCCCTTTGCTCATCCCTAGTTTTTGACACGGTTTGTGAACGGGCCAAACTGGTTCCCGAACGAACCGGTTCGCTGGTTCGGTTCGGTAAGGTTCGGTAGTGCGACCTTTCCGAGTCGTGCCGAACCGAACTGGGTCGTGAAGGTAGCTTATTGTTTACCCTTTCACATGTAGCTTACTGAACCAGTACCGTTCGCGAACAAACCGAACTGGCCCGGTTCGTTAAACGAAATAACAAACCCCGAACCGGGGTGCCAGAAACCGGTTCGTAAACGAACCGGTTCGGTTTGGTAACGAACCGGCCCGGTTCGTTAAGCCTAATTACCTAACCGAACCGGTTCGGTACTGTGCTCATGCCTAGTCGGATGTGAATGGCACATCCATGCTCGGATGTGCATGGCACATGCATGGTCGGATGTGCATGGCACATGCATGGTCAGATGTGCTTGGCACATGCATGGTCAGATGTGCTTGGCACATGCATGGTCAGATGTGCTCGGCACATGCATGGTCAGATGTGCTTGGCACATGCATCCTTGGATCGGATGAGCAAGAAGAAAAGATGGTTTGTTGATGGAAATGTAGCAATGGTTCTACCTGTTTCACTCACGTTCTCTTCTTTTTCCTCTTCCTGTTCCCATTTTACCTTCCTCGTCTATTTGCTCTTTCTCTACCTCCTCCCTTTCATCTTCCTCCCCCCCTTCTTCTCCCTCTCCCTTTTTCTCGTTCTCTCCCCCATCCACCACACCGCACTCTACTTCTCCCACACCTTTTGAGGCGCCTCAAAACCCGTCCTCTCCCCCATCAACCGCACTCTACTTCTCCCACACCTTTTGAGGCGCCTCAAAACCCGTCCTCTCCCCCATCAACCGCTCTCTACTTCTCCCACACCCCCCCTCCACCGCGACCTGCTGTCCTCCCTCCCTACCTCGGCCAATCAGGAGGTGGCTGCCATGCTGGCGGGTGCGCTGTCAGAGGAGGCTGAGCTGGAGGCTCTTGCTGAGCTGGAGGCACTGGAGACAGAGGTGAGGGGGAGACAGAGGTGAGGGGGAAGAGGGGTTAGGGGGAAGAGGGGTTAGGGGGAAGAGGGGTTAGGGGGAAGAGGGGTTAGGGGGAAGAGGGGTGAGGGGGAAGAGGGGTTAGGGGGAAGAGAGTCGAGGGGAAAGCCAGGTGCAATGCCCAAGCAGCCCTTGCTGAGCTGGAAGCACTAGAGACGGAGGTGAGGGGGAAACATGGGTGAGGGGGTACAGAGGTGAGGGAGAGAGAGATGAGGGAAAGATGGAGTCTGTAAGGGAGACAGGTTGGGGGTGTGAGGGAGGGGGGGAGGACGGGGGAGGGGGAGAGGGGAAAAGAAAGAATTGAGGGAGGACAAAGGTGAAGGGGGAGAGGGAGGTGGGGGGGAGAGAGGGAGGAAATAACTTATGAAACGAGATGAGAGGGTGAGGGTGAGGGTGAGGGGGAGACAGATCTTAGAGGGCAAGAAGGCCGGGGCAAAGGGAGATCTGAGAGAGGGGGGAGATTGAATGGTGGGTGAGGCAGGGGAGTGAGGGGAGCAGAGGACGGGAGAGAGTACGGGAGGGGAGCTCAGGGTGAGAAATAGGCTGACGTGAGGGATGTGTAAGCTGATGGTATGCTAAGAGTGATTTTGCTGATGGTAGGGGTTATTGTGCACATGCTGTGGGTGTTTAGGCTGACGGGATTGAGCAGTTTGTTAGCCTGACCACCCTTGTGCTTGCTCATTCTTCCCCTCCCGCCTTTCTCCCATCCAGCCAGCTCGCTATAAAGGAGATAGAGCAGGAACTGCCTGCTTTGTTTGAAGTGCCTCTGCTGCCGGATGTGTGCCAGTGTGCTGATTCAATTCGTGTTCCTTGTTGCTTCCTGCCCCCCGTGTCTCCCACCCAGCTCGCAATGAAGGAGGTGGAGGAGGAGCTGCCTGCCGTGCCTGAAGTGCCCGTGCTGCCCGATGTGCCAAAGGAGCCGCCAGTTAAAGCCCCGGCTAAAGAGGAAGCGGAGGAGGAGGGTGCTGCTGAATCTGCTGAGGCTGAGGATGGAACGAGCAGAGAACGAGGTGAGTGCTCCTGCTAGCATGCGTGTGTGTGCATGTCTGGAGGGCAGGTCAGGAATGTAGTAGGAAGGAGGGGAAGGGTGGGAGGGGCTGAAATTGGACCAAGTGCTCTTGCTGCCTGATGTGCCAAAGGAGCCGCCAGTTAAAGCACCGGCTAAAGAGGAAGCGGAGGCGGAAGGGAGGGAGGCTGCTGGTGCGGCTGCTGAGGCTGAGGCTGAGGCTGAGGCTGAGGATGGAACGAACAGAGAACGAGGTGAGTGGTGTTGCTGGCATGCTTGGTTGTCTGCATGTGTGTGCATGTCTGGAGGGCAGGTGAAGGAAGGGAATGCGAAAGATGTGAGCGGAAGAAAGGGCTGTATCTGGGGGAGCTGCCTGGGCTTGATACGGAGGCGCTGCCTGCTGGTGCTGCCTAATGTGCCAAAAGCCCTGCCAGTCAATGCACTGGCTAGAGCGGAAGCGGGAGAGGGGGGGTGTGAGGAGGGGAAGCGGGAGAGGGGGGGTGTGAGGAGGGGAAGGGGATGTCACTATTACTGCATCTTCTGTGTCTGGTGAGGCTAGAACGGAATGAGCAGAGAACGAGGTGCGTGGGTGTGCTAGGTTGCAGGTCAGGGTGTTTCTCTGTGTCGGTATGTTTGTGTCTGAGAGAAAGAGTGTGATACGGGGAGGGGGGACGCAAGTGCCCGTACTGGTTGATTTGCCAAGGAGGAGCTCTCAGCAGTCCGCCTTCTGAGTCGACTCAAAGGTCGCTTTATTTGTCAAGGAGCTCTCAGCAGTCCGCCTTCTGAGTCGACTCAAAGGTCGCTTTATTTGCCAAGGAGCTCTCAGCTGTCCGCCTTCTGAGTCGACTCAAAGGTCGCTTTATTTGCCAAGGAGCTCTCAGCAGTCCGCCTTCTGAGTCGACTCAAAGGTTGCTTTATTTGCCAAGGAGCTCTCAGCAGTCCACCTTCTGAGTCGACTCAAAGGTCGCTTTATTTGCCAAGGAGCTCTCAGCAGTCCGCCTTCTGAGTCGACTCAAAGGTCGCTTTATTTGCCAAGGAGCTCTCAGCAGTCCGCCTTCTGAGTCGACTCAAAGGTTGCTTTATTTGCCAAGGAGCTCTCAGCAGTCCGCCTTCTGAGTCGACTCAAAGGTTGCTTTATTTGCCAAGGAGCTCTCAGCAGTCCACCTTCTGAGTCGACTCAAAGGTCGCTTTATTTGCCAAGGAGCTCTCAGCAGTCCGCCTTCTGAGTCGACTCAAAGGTCGCTTTATTTGCCAAGGAGCTCTCAGCAGTCCGCCTTCTGAGTCGACTCAAAGGTCGCTTTATTTGCCAAGGAGCTCTCAGCAGTCCGCCTTCTGAGTCGACTCAAAGGTCGCTTTATTTGCCAAGGAGCTCTCAGCAGTCCACCTTCTGAGTCGACTGAAAGATCGCTTTATTTGCCAAGGAGCTCTCAGCAGTCCAAGCGGTGGCTGAGGTGGACGCAGTGAGGAAGAAAGGGAGAGGAAGGGGGGGTGGGGGGAAGATCTTAGGGGGTTGAGTAGGGTAGGAGGATGAGAAGGGAAGTGACGAAAGAAGTTGGTTTCAGTCTTGTTTTTCTTGTCAGGGCAGGCTTGTGATGAAAAAACCTATTTCTTCTCAACCACGTGGGGTAGCCTCTGTATTGAGGCAGTGGCCACGATCTGGCTATGCTAAGCTGAAGCCTGCATTTGGGACTGGGACTGATTATGCGTGTGAGGATGAAGGGTTGGTTGAAGGCAGAGCACCATGCGTAGGCACGCATGCCAGCGTTTGTGTGGATATGCAGGCTCGGAACAGGTGTTACACACGTGTATTGCATGAACGCATGTGTGTATATGCACGTGCGACTGAAAGTATATGTGCACACGCACTGAAGTGTGAGTGTGTATATGCACATGTGACGGATAGTATGAGTGTGTATATGCACATGCGCTTGAAAGTATTAAGTGTATTTATGCGAATGGGTATGCGGACATGAATGAGTGTGTGCATATGCTTCATTATGGATGGGCGTTTGACTGCTTTGCATGTAAATGGATGGGTGCATGTATGCATGTGAATAATAAGGTGCCTAATCAATGAGGGTGTGTGGATGTGATGTCAAACCTCCCTTGTTCGCCCCCCCTCTATCGTCGTCAATGTTACCTTTCTCTTGCAGTTCGTGAAGAACCGCTTCCAGCCTAACATGTCTGCTACAGTAACCAATCACAGAAGAGAGGAAGGATACATCTGGGTGTATATGATCTTATTGTGTATGTTGAACCAAGTCTTGAGTAGATGTGACTAATATGCCAGTGTTTGTAATGAGTGTAAAGCTTCTTTACTGATTCAAGCCTTTGTAACACAGATGTGGAATCACTCACATGTGCACTCAATGCAGTACAATACATACATACGGTACCTAAGTGTTCAAACTAATACTGGAGAGGGAAGAGACGATATGGCAAGTTAAACATAACATTGCCTCCCTGAGTCCCTTCATCACCTTGCAGTTTCCCCAGTGCAAACATTTTACAGCCCAGCTGGTTTCAGGACATCAATCTGTAACGGGAATCGATTCATGATGAGACATACTACGGTTAAGGGAGGGGTCAGGAAAGTTACAGTTGCGAAAAAACAAACGAAACCTCAAGTTAGCTATAGCCTACCAGCATCATCAATAGCTTACATATTCCCCTGCCAGCATGTGCACAATCAGCATTTAACTGACCTGTCTCTCCCTAACGCATGTACTAGCTCATTCCCTGCTGCTGCTGCATGTGCAGCTGAAGCCATTCCTGCTGGTTCCTCTGCAGCTGCATCACCTGTCTCGGTACCCATTGCAGCTGATGCTGGTGGCCTGCTACAGGCACGCCTGCTGTAACTCGTGACAAAGGTACAGGAACAGGTGGCATGGTAACAGGAGCATATGGCATAATAGCAGGAGCATGTGGTATGGTAACAGGACCATGTGGCATGGGCACAGATACAGTGGCTCTTTAACGCATGTAGCTCATTCCCTGCTGTTGCTGCTGCTGCTGAATATGCTGAAGCCGCTCCTGCTGGTTCCTCTGCAGCTGCATTACCTGGCTTGGTACCCATTGCAGCTGATGCTGATAGCTTGCAACAGGCACGTCTGATGTAACTCGTGACAAAGGTACAGGAGCAGGTGGCATGGTAACAAGAGCATGTAGAATAAAAGCAGGAGCATGTGGTATGGTAACAGGACCATGTGGCATGGGCACAGATACAGTGGCTCTCTACCGCATGTAGCTCATTCCCTGCTGTTGCTGCTGCTGCTGCTGCATCATGTGCAACTGAAGCCATTCCTGCTGGTTCTTTTGCAGCTGCATCACCTGGCTTGGTACCCATTGCAGCTGATGCTGGTAACCCGCAACAAGCATGGCTGCCATAGTTGGTGGCATGGCAACAGGAGCATGTGGCATGGTAACAGAAGCATGTGGCATGGGTACGGCTGCAGTGGCTCGTGAAGTAGCTGTATGCAGCAGATGCCTGCTAGATGCCATAGCTGTTGTGGCTGACCAGGTCTGCCGCTGCTGCTGCTGCTGCAGATAATAACGATTCTGCTGCTGCTGGTACTGTGGGTACTGCTGTGGTTGCTGGTACTGCTGGTGCTGCTGGTATGACTGTGGCTGCTGAAAAGACTGTTGCTGTGGATACGAAGTTTGCAGCTGAACCTGATTTTGCTCGTGGTGCACATACTGCTGCTGCTGCTGCTGCTGCTGCTGCTGCTGCTGCTGCTGCTGCTGCTGCTGCTGTTGCTGCTGCTGATGTTCCTGCTGAGGCAGGTACTGCTGCTGCTGCTGCTGGTGATGCAGCTGCCAGAGATCCTGCTCCCGAACAACAGGGGCCCTGCTCTCACCCCACATGCTCCTTCCCTGTTGATACATCCTCTTCATCTCAACGTTCCTGCTTGCCCGTGGGCTTGCAGCCCCGTACTTCCCCTTCGCAACGTCACCATGTCGAGGCTGCATGCTGTAACCCTGCTGAGAGTGAGTTCGCTGATGGTGGTGATGGTGGTGGTGATCAGAAGACGTGCAGGTCACATGCTTGGAGCACCGATACTCTTTGTCCCCGGCTGACTCTCGACCACCCGCAGCACCCTGCACTTGCCCACCATGGCCCAGGCCCTTTCTGTCCATTTCCTTGCTTCTCGACTGGCACCTGACTGTGCCTGCATTGACTGACAAGGAACTCAACGGAAACTGTGCCTCCCTGACCGCCTCGCTTCCCTTCCCCTGATCAGACTTTCCGCTATTCACATAATAGTTGCTCTTTCCACTTCCTGTCCTTGTCATACCAGACTCAGCGGCCGAACGCGCCTCCCTTTTCTCTCCATCTGCACGTACCACCAGTCTCTGCATTGCTGCTACTGCTGCTTCTCCCTCTGCCATTCTTCCAGAGTGACCAGAATAAACTCCACCACCAGTATCACACAATGCAGGGTATCTGCCAAGAACACCTGCTCCAGATAACGCCATCCCTGGCGGAGCCCACATCGTGTTGCTACCTGCCATATGATCTGGTCTCCTGCTGCCTAAGTGAGCATAATTATTGTTGGGAAAACCTGGTCGCCCTGGCAATCGTCTTGTGGGTGTCCTTATTCCTAGCCTCTTTCGACGAACACTGCGAGCTTTGTCTCCTCGTGCGTGCTTCTCTCCAATCACGGCAACTCGCTCTGCCTCATTAGCCCATCTCTGCGATCACAAAGGACAGGGGTTGAAGGAGATTGGTCAGGAGGACCCTAAGCAATCATCGCAGGAGAAAACCGTTGAGAGGGACAGAGAAAGCATGAGCCTTTTCAGCAGGTGCCCCAAAACAGTGTTTTCCTGAGATTGTTGAGAAGAAGGGAGAAAGCTTGAGCCTTTGGAACAGGTGTACAGCCGCGAATGTGTTTTCTTGAGGAGATCCGTTGACAAGCTTACTTGTCGAAACGTTTTGTGTTTGTACAGAAATCTCCCCTTTACAAGAAGCTGCTTCATAGGCGGTAGCGCCTGTAGCCCAGTGCTCCAAATCACCTCCACCTGAGAGCAGAAAACAAAGAAAACGGATTAGCAGAGCAAAAAGGGGATAAAAAAGTAATGAGCGGTAGCAATATTCCTTGTTACCATCTGACAGTGATGGAAACACGAGGTGCTTACCGTGAAGGTGTGCTGTTGCCTCTTTTCACCATAGCTCTCCATGACCACTCTACCTGCTACCATCCGACACCCAAGGCACTTCGACTTCTTGCTGTGTCTGCAAGGACCATTCAATGCGATGCGAAGGCGGATTAAGGTCATTTGCGAAACAGGCAGGACTGGAAGAAGAGCGAGATCATGACCGAGGCTCACCCCTTAAATATGCGTTGTCTGAAAAGGACGACATCCCTCCGGCAAACATCGCCTGCAATAATTTTAAGCACGAAAGATAGGACGGAGCTCGTCTGAACACGCCACATGCTGTCAGGGGTGCAATTCTGTTATACACAAAGATTCTGCATGTCGATGTGTCGTTTTGAAGTTTATACATTGAAACGCTCTGATCACCTGTGCAATTGATGGAGAAGGAAGAAGGCGGGTAATTTCGCATGGCTGACGCGACATCCTTGATCCTGTAGGGACGAGAGTAAGACAGAGGACAGCACATGAAGACGGTTGATATCCTTTCACATGTCAACGATCGGCTAGACGAGTTCCCGTACGAAGCCTTTAACAGGACATTCGCGGCCGGAAAATATTGAGAAACTTACTCCGCATGCTCCTGAATGCGACTGATCAAGTCTGACTTTAGTCCGCTCATCCTTAAAGAATGATGTCTCAGATAAGCTTTGCACAGCTCAACGGTCAGTTTGCTCCAATCTCCCGCTGCCATCAGAACGAATAGATGCTCAGAGCGACAGCAAGCCAAAACGAGATAGAAAGCAAGACCAAATTCTATACGACTCGAAGCTTAACACACATCTCACCTTGAATCAGTAATAATGATTTGTCGTAAGCACTGGAAGACGAAGAGCATGTGTCATCAGTGGTATCGTCGCCAGTCTTCTTCCTCGAACTCTTGGAGCTAACGGCCTTTGAGTTTTTGCTTTTCGATGTTGTCTTGATTTCCGACTCGTTGTCTGAAAGCGTTTCGGCATCATCCACCTCCCAGCAGCTATCATCGCTGTCACTGTCGCTGCTGCTATCGCTGCCATTGTCGCTGGATGTTTCACTCTCATCGTCAATAAGCAAAATAGACTCGGACTTTGACTCTTCATCTGTCATTGTATTGTCAATCGTCAAGGCTGTCAAAGAAGACCTGCGCTGAGCGTAATATACCAATCGTGCAAGCGAGTACAGACTACTGACTAATTTACTCGCAACCTAAGTCGTGCGCCACCGTGGAACGCGATAACGTGGTAACTCAAAGCTGGAAATATTCGTATACTTTGGGCTATTCGCTGAACAATTGCTACACGAATTTCCGCCGTGAAAAGTATCTTTGAAGCCAAGATAGGCTGCAAGAAGGTAATCTTGGCTGATAGGCTGCAAGGAAGCAGCAGCTGAATAGCAATCAATCCCGAGGCTGAATGGCAACGACGATGGAATGGGAGGCTAAATGTGTGCCTTTGCTCCTGAGGATGGTCAGCCACGGTATGTCATACATCTCTTTCCATGACCCCATTCCCTGGACCAGAGACCTTTCCATGACCTCATCCCCATCCAGATGCGCACCATGCTCTAAAACCTTTCTGAAACCACCCAGCGTTGTGTGTGTCTGTTTTGTGTCTGTTGTCAGTGCTGACGCTAAGGAGCAGATTGACGGTGCGGATGGGATGGAAGGGCGTGACGCGAAATCTAGGCAGTTGGTTCTCTCCAGCCTCACACATTCCAAGCCATTTCCCCCCAGCCTGCCAACCAAGCCAGGTGGTATCTCTGACAAGCGCGAACGCTTCGGGTTCGAAAAGGCGAGGGAAAACGGAACAACTGTAGAGCAAATGCATCCAATGTGCGCGATTCGTCGTTGCACTTGTCAGGCATTGCGCATTAAATCAAGCGTCACGATGTTGCGTCAGCTCGATTTCTTCAGATCTGCAACCTTTCCCGCCAAAACACAACCCCCACCCCAATTACTCGTAACAGGTAAGCCGCAGCAGCACCAGAAAGCAGAGAGACAAGTAGAACAGCTCCACGATGTATGTTGCCGCTTTGTTACCTTCAGCACTTCTTTCAGAGAAGCCGACATGGCTCATACTTGGAGCTAGATATCACTGGTCACTCGTACTAGTTACAAGGTTTCATCAATAGTACTCAGTTCTTGTTGCAAGTACTTGACAGGCAGTGCCCGCTAAATTATACGGCAGTACATCTGGTGGAAAAACAATATGACGGCTGACGCGCCTAATTGCGCGACTAATTCGCTCGTCGGCCACAAAGGTGAAACCGTCCACGACAAGGCGACTCCCATTGTCAAGGCTACCGAAACGGGGAGTGGAGCGAGCTCGAGAAGCAGCGCGTCGGAAGCCGCGAGCGTGCGCGCTCTGAGAAACAGAACGGTTCACGCGTGATGCTCCACGTCCGACGTTTACGCGAGGGCGCTGTCCTTGATCCTAGGTACATTTCATAACACCGCATTTAGGTGACTTTTGAGACAACTAAAAAGTATCCTCGATAGAAGGTACACTCCGTGGATTGCTGTTAAGATCCGATCTGTTCAAGCTGCAATATAGTGTTCAAACCGTCACTGGTCAAATCCACAAATGTTGTACTTTTCAAGTGTTGTTACGTCTCGCAATAGCATGCACGTCAGGGCAAATCTCGTGTAAACAGTCGTAACGTGCAATCCTGGCATGTGCTCGTTGGTATGGCAGCGGGCGAGTGGAGCGAGATGACCGTTGGGCAGTGCCAGGCATACCTGCGCTTCCACCGCCTGCGAGTGAGCGGCGCCAAGCCCGTCCTCGTCAGCCGCATTCAGGAGCACCTCGAGTGAGAATTTTCGCGTTATATGCTGATTCTACCTCCGCCTTTCCACTTACCCCTCCCCTCTTTCCGTCCTCCCCCGTTTCCCCGAACCAAAAACTCTGGCGAAGAGCCATATTCAGTGTGAAGATATATCGATGTTCTTGCTTTCAAGATTCGAACGAAAATATTCTAATGTATCCCCACGTCACTACGACAATGCTTGCTGTATGATGAAGCAGTGAATGCTTACACTGCCTGGTTCATGGCGAACCAGGTTCACTTCTGGTTTGAGCCATTTTTCTTGAGACACTCATTTCCCCTGTATGTATTTTGTTTTTATGCTCCACTGTCGAATGGCCACGCTGGCGACGCGTGCAGGAACGACGTGGTGCTCTCTCGGCTTGTGCCTTTCTTCTAAAACACTCGTTTCCCCTTGGTGTATATGCTCCATTGTCGAATGTCCACGCAGGCGACGTGTGCAGGAACGACGTGGTGCTCTTCAAGCAGTGCCTTTTCAAAGGGTGAGACCGCCTTTTTGCTACGTTCCGTAACCGATTGTTTTCCCGCCTAATATGTGCCTGATCTACGATTCTTCGCCGCGTTTACATCGCGCGAAATGGTGCACGCAGGCACAAGAAAAACTGTCCGGGGTGTCTGCAAGTGGCGGGGCGAGTGATCATCGAGAGCTACGGCGAATTGAAGCAGCAGCACACCTTCACTGTAAGCACGTTCGCGTCCATCAATAGTGAGCTTATTGAAATAGCAGTGAGCACGTGCTTGTATATAGTAATTGCGGTTTACTAGTTGTTGAGGCTCATGGACTCGAGGCCCGGGTCCTGGAATAACACCCTGCCAGCTATCCATTTGGGGTCATTGAGTGTACCTTTTATGTGCCCCAGTAAGAACTTTGATACTTGAGATTTATTGTTGATTTTAATATTTGATTTTTATGTTTGAATCTGATATTTGAATTTCGATTTCAGGTGGAAGTACTCTGGAGCTCGGGCTTGCAGCCTTTGCCACCACTCAAGCAGCACATGCTGAAGGGGAGAAAGCTGTACGGCTTCTCAACGCATCGCCAGGTGAGCTCGCTTTTTGAGACGCTATATTTGGCAAGTATTAAGAAGCTTGCAATGTGGAAGCTCAATCGCATGTGACGCATTAGCATAGCGGCTGTAGCTCTTGCCATCAACGCTCTCATCCTTGGACCAACGAGGATGACCGAGTTGCGAGTCCTACATGCCATGCCAGTCCTTCATTGTCCTCCCCTCCTCTCCCCCCTGTGCTTGCAGCCTTGGCCCAACGAGGCGGAGTGGGTAGCAGTGCTGGCAGAGAATCATGCTTGGGGAGAAGCGCAGCATTTCCCATCATTTCCTCCCCCCTGTGCTTGCAGCCCTGGCCCAACGAGGCGGAGCGGGCAACCCCTCATACAGAGAAGCATGCGAAGGGAGATGCGACAGCGATGGCAGCACTGGCTAGCAGAAAACTGTGACTGCAAACTGCCTGTTCATCCCTGCGCTTGCAGCATTAGACTATCGATGCAGAGATAGGGTTACAGTCTCCTGCGGAGACACGTGCAAGGGAGACGCGCCCCACACCGTTCGCAAGGAGAGAAAAACCCTTCTCACTGTAATTCTTCAGTTGCTGCTTTCCCTCCCTGCTCGCAGCCTTGACCCGACGAGGAGGAGAGGGTTGTTGTCCCGGAAAGGCGTGACGCTTCTAACTGCCTTGCCTTCCCACGCCCTTCCATGGTTTCTCTCTCTCTCTCTGCTTGTAGCCCTGGCCCGACGAGGAGGAGAGAGGCCCGTTTTTTTTGGAATCCCCAAAGATACCTCGAGAGGAGCTGAGAGGGCTAGTTTCCCGACTGAGAAGCATGCGAGGGGACACATGGCCAGTAGTGTCCGCGGTACTCCCAAGGTGAATATATTTTTGCGGCGCCTCAACCTCTCATCTTCTGCTCTCCCCTGTGCGTGCAGCCTTGGCCCAACGAGGCGGAGAGAGTTGCTCTCGTGAATGAAAAGCGTGCGAGGGGAGACGTGACTTGCAGTGATCGCGACATGCGGGAGAAGAAGCTACGAGTGGAGGGCGTGCGGCTTCTTCAATGGTTCCTCATTCTCTTGGTTCTCCCCTCCCCTTTGGACAGCCTTGGCCCAACGAGGCAGAGAGAGCTGCAGTGCTGGCTGAAAAACACGCGAGGGGAGGCGCAGCTCGCACCGTTCGCAAGGTATGCGTTCGAGTGGAGAGGTATGCAGCTTCCTCAATGGTTGCTCGCTCTCTGTTCTCCCCTGCCCTTACACAGCCTTGGCCCAACGAGGCAGAGAGAGCTGCAGTGCTGGCTGAAAAACATGCGAGGGGAGGCGCAGCTCGCAATGTTCGCAACGTGCGCAAGGAGAGGGCTCGGGTGGAGAGGCGCGCAGCAGCACGGAAAGCAGCAGGCGAGGCAGCAGTGGAAGCTGCCGCGAAGGCGCTGCAAGGGCTGGTGATAGGAGGGCTGGTAGGTGCAGGGCGTGGGAGCGAAGGGCGGGCAGTGGAGGCGCGTGAACGGGCAGTGGAACATGCAGTGGGGAAACCAGGTGCTGTTGAGAATGATGCAGCTGCAGGGAGTTTGGAACGGGCAGCTGAAGAGGCGAGAACAGCTGAAGAGGCGAGAGCAGCTGAAGAGGCGAGAGCAGCTGAAGAGGCGAGAGCAGCTGAAGAGGCGAGAGCAGCTGAAGAGGCGAGAGCAGCTGAAGAGGCGAGAGCAGCTGAAGAGGCGAGAGCAGCTGAAGAGGCGAGAGCAGCTGAAGAGGCGAGAGCAGCTGAAGAGGCGAGAGCAGCTGAAGAGGCGAGAGCAGCTGAAGAGGCGAGAGCAGCTGAAGAGGCGAGAGCAGCTGAAGAGACGAGAGCAGCTGAAGAGGCGAGAGCAGCTGAAGAGGCGAGAGCAGCTGAAGAGGCGAGAGCAGCTGAAGCGGAGAGAGCAGCTGAAGCGGAGAGAGCAGCTGAAGCGGATAGAGCAGCTGAAGCGGAGAGAGCAGCTGAAGCGGAGAGAGCAGCTGAAGCGGAGAGAGCAGCTGAAGCGGAGAGAGCAGCTGAAGCGGAGAGAGCAGCTGAAGCGGAGAGAGCAGCTGAAGCGGAGGGAGCAGCTGAAGCAGCAGCAGCAGCGATGCAACAACTGGCGATACGAGGAGGAGTGGGTGGTGCAGCTGGGGTGACTAGGACGAAAGGTCGAGGCAACCAAGCAAGAAAAGGAAAAGGTCCAAGAAGTTTCCGTCAGACCAACAACGGGAATGAGAGGGAGGAGTGGGAGAGGAGCCGAGAGCCTGCGACAACCAAAACGCCCTTGGGCAGTCAGCCAGTGAACGTGAGAGCAGTGAGATGTGACTCAAGGGACCGAGAGATACAGAAGCGGGAGAGGGCACCCGTGGGGAATGAGAAGGGGCAGGGAGCTGATGCAGTGGCAGGGAATGGCGGGCACGTGGGGTCTGGCAGGGGTATGATGGGTGGGGGTGGTCCTGTGGAGGCGACTGTGCTGAAACACCACGGCCAGCCAACGGGAGAGGTGAAGGGAGGGAGTCGGACCACAGATAGGGACAGAGACGGAGACAGAGACATAGAGAGCCCAAGTGGCAGGGACAGAGAGCGAGGCAGAGGCAGAGACAGAGGCAGGGGCAGAGGCAGGGGCAGAGGCACGGACAGAGGCAAAGACCAGACGGAGATCCCGGACCCTCCCCCACCCAGCCATCTCCTCCAGTGCTGAGCAGGGAAAGGGCTCACGAGCATCCGCAATGCGGTCCGCAAGGAGTGTGCCCGCATTGCGAAGCAAGCGGGCTTTGCTGTGCAGGTCGAGACAGCCCGTCACACACCGGTGGGGGGTTTGAAGGCGGATCTCGCCATTCAGCACCCGGATTCGGGAGCGGTGTGGCTGTGCTACCTGACCGTCATCGACCCACTCTCACCTCAAGACCCGACAGCAAGGCAGGCCGCAGGCTGGGCCGCAACCGCAGCGGCACGGACCAAAGAAGACAGGAACCGCAACCGCGCGCCTTGCGTCGGAATCTTAGATATGGCGGTGGAGACGTATGGGGGCTGCTCACCCGGAGTGATGGAGTTTCACCGCCTCTGTGCCAACCTTGGGGCCAAGCGGCTGTACAACGCTGGGCGGGGTTTACGGGTGGAAGAGAAGCTCTACCACTCCTACCGGCAGCGCTTTTCCGTCGCACTGCAGCGCGCTGTAGCAAACGCGCTCATGGCCCAAGCAGGCCTCATGGCCTGTGGGGCATGCGGCGGTTTTGAGGCATGTGATACGACGGCTTTTGAGGCCAAGGCAGCCCATTCAGCCTACGAGGAGGAGCCTCTTAGCCTCGGGGATCTCATGCAAGTGATCGAGCCGTGGTATTAGCTGCCGTAGTCAGTTTACCTTTGCTTGTATACCTGGATTCCTAGTGTGCTGTATGGAACCACGTATTCTGAAGAAGGATTATTTGCAACAGCGACACAGACAGGGACAGGGACAGAGACAGAGATAGAGGCGACAATGATGACAGGTATGGCAGAGATAGCAGAGGCAAGAGAGATGAGAGGTGAGAGAGAAGTGACTGTTACGGTATGACAGATCGGATGCAATAGCCAGGGCCTCAGTTATTAGTGTTAATGATATCTGGTCTGTCGTGTGACTGTTACATAATGGAATTTTTGGGACCATTGAAAGAACATGAAAGTTCTTCTACAAATTGCTGAACCATTAACCGATTTTATTCCATAAAAAGTGGTTTCCTGATCAAATGTTTTAAACATATTTCTTACATTGCTTCACCAATCTTACGTTGACTTGGTGGACCGGGAGTGGGACGATGGCGATGCGGAAGGCGGGGCTCTCTGGGTGGAGGCCCCGTACATGGTGGATTCGCTGTTGTGATTGGGGGGGGGGGGGGAATGGGGTGTGGGATGGGATGTCTTGACAGGGTGTCTTGACTGGGCGTTTTGATTGGGTATCTTGAGGGGGGGTTTTACGTGTGTTGCATTTGGGTTCTTCTTGGCGGTTTCACTTTCCTTCTCCTTTTCTCTTTTCTTTTCTTTTCTTCTTCATTTATGTCTTTCTTTCCCTTCTTTTCCTCTTTCTGTCTAGGTAATACACAAGCTACTGTTTGGTCAATCTGGTTGCTCAGCCAAAAGAGGCAACCAGATATTGGATGCGTTAATAATGCTCTATTTCCATAAATCCACGACTCGGTGAAAACAGCCATGGACAATCATCAAGTATTCTTAGAGCGTATTCCTGTCGTATGAAGTTCTCATATCAAGATTGTTCTTTTTGCCTGGTAAAACTAGCGAGAGGTTTAGGGTTTTGGGTTTAGGGTAAAACACGCTCTAAATTAAACGTATAGTCAGCTATCAATAGGTTGCCTCTACTTTCACTTCTACACCTGTTCTCCGATATTTCCACACCCTGAACTTTGATTCTACTCAGACACCCTACATGGTTGAAGGTTTGATGAGACGGACGCCCTGACATTGCGGGTCTATCAGGAAATAGCCACCAGGTCAAGGCCTTTCCAAACTCGAACTTTGTAGTTCGAGTGAGCGGGGAAAATTCCAGTGCCAGATTGTTCCTGCGGTAACCTCGCATTGAGATTGTGTTTCATTAACCTTGAAAATTCTTCGAGCGTTGCTAACTACCTTCGAAATCGGTTCTTTCGAGGGTAGGTACCCCAGGTCGTGAAGATAAAGGGTGTGGAATTATCGCGGAACATGTGTATCCATCTTGGTACGCGTTTGCAACCCATACGTAATTGTCGCTCCCATACTCCCATTCAGCTGCTTTTCAAAACACCTGGACAGCTGGACCCAACGCGGCTCGGCGGAAGCGGTGACACTCCACAGGCTCACTTATCGACGTTCTGAACTGCGCGGTAAACCCTTGAGCCACGCTCAACCCCGAAACTCTTCTTCCGTTTGTGAGCAGAAGAGGCAGCAGCCGCACCGGAAGGACCAAAATCTTGAAGGCTCAGCCACCACGCGTACAAAAGGGAACAACAGCATATCGACGCTACCCTTGCTATCAGCTTCTTCGTTTCGCGACTTGGTCAATCGATCCTTGCTTCTCAGTTCCTGCTCCTCCAGCATCTCAAAAGCCGCATTCTCACTCCGTGAAGCTCACCGTCAGCTTTCACCATCCAATCCGACGTTTGACTTACTGTCAGCCTCGCATGGCTCACTGGAAGCGATATGTTCTTTGCCTCGTCCTCGTCCTCGCGCTCTGCACGAGCGGCGCTCTCGCGGCGAAGAAGAGACGGTCGAAATCGAAATCGTCAAGCGCCGCCATTAAGATGCCGAGCATCGACAAGCTGCAGTTCGAAATGGACGAGGCGAACAATCGAGTGGCGGAGGCCGCTGGCGAAATGGACCAGGCGAAGAAAATCGTTGACGAAGCCGTGCATGCGAAGAGACAGGCGGACCTGGAGGTGCGGAGGCAGAATGAGCGAATGGCGGAAGCTATTGCGGAAGCGGAACGGGCGGAGGCGGAAGCCAGAGCGGCTGGATACGTTTTTTAGCGCAAGGCGCTGAGAGATCCTCTCCCGCTCAGCCTCGCCGCTCAGCCTTGCCGCTCAGCCTCGCACGGCAGGATTCGTGTGTCACGTCTCCCGCGCAGGCACCTGCATTTTGCATCGCTTATGTCTCATGGAGGTGGGGAAATAAGGTGGCATGCAATAAAGACGACTCTAGGTACCGTACACGGTCTGGCTCATGGGGCCAATGCTGTTTCCGCTGATGACGACGACTCCAGGTACAATGACCTTATGTCATGATTCCAATTAATGAGATATCATTTTACTCATTTACACAACCTCAAATTGACAGACGCTAAAACCACACACTGCATTTGCACAATTCATGCATGAACCATCTATTACAAGGGCTGCTTGTCACTGCTGGTGTCGCCAGTGGTGCTGCTGTTCTCACTGATTCCCAGCTTCGCTTGCAGGCATGAGCCAACCATTACAGAGGTTTACTTGTCACTGGTGTTGCCGTCACTGCTGGTGTCATCACTGGTGCTGCTGTCCTCACTGATGCCCAGCTTCGCTTGCAGCTCCTTCACCTTGTTCTCCAGCTCATGTACCTGTGCCACTGCATTGAAAGGGGAGAGAGGGACACACAGAGGAAACAGGAGGCATTGTGAGCATGCCTTGAGCAGCTCCTTCACCTTGTTCTCCAGCTCATGTACCTGTGCCACTGCATTGGAAGGGGAGAGAGGGACACACAGAGGAAACAGGAGGCATTGTGAGCATGCCTTGAGCAGCTCCTTCACCTTGTTCTCCAGCTCATGTACCTGTGCCACTGCATTGAAAGGGGAGAGTGGCGAGAGAGGGACACAGAGGAGACAGGAGGAGGCATTGTGAGCATGCCTCATGCCTTAAGTGTCTACAACACGACATCATCCTTTTTGTTCAAGCCTCTCAGCCAATGTGACCTGCAGAGTGTTAAGAGAGGCAAAGAGATGAGACATGAAAACAGTGGACATATATTGGCATGCCCGAAGCACGACTTAACACTCCCATCCAGGTGAAGCACTGCTGCCGTTGAGAAGCGTTGAACAAGACCAGAAGAGCCGTGCACTTGAGGGCCATATCAGAAGACTGTGCATGGCTGTAAGTCAGAAGAGGCATGGAGCACAGTGCAGCACAAGAGTTGCGTGAGGCCCAGCAACCAATCTTATCCCCACGTACAGCCCAGATCAAGCTAGATCACGTGCACCCCTAGATCCCTCACACCATCTTTCTCTCTGCACCCCATCAAGCTCCCCCCAGGTTATCTCCTCCAACCTACTTTGCCAAGCCAACTCCCCATTTTCTCATCTGAATCAACTCGACACACACATCTACTTTGCTTGAAAATGGAATCCGCCAACTTACTCAGTTCGCTCTTCTCCTTCTCCCGCTCAGCAGCGTTCTTGGCGGTGGTCTCCTCACACTCGGCCATCTTCTCCTTCATCTTCTCCCCCATCGCATGCGTCGCGTCAAACTTGTTCTCCGCCTCGAATCTCAGCTTCCTCAGCTTCCCCACATTCTCCTCACACTCCTCCACCTGGCAAGGGAAACGCAGATGACAGCAAAAATGTGCTCTCTGCCTCTTTTCTTTGCTCAAGCTGCTGCTGCACACATACTCCCTCAATGAACAGCAACTTCCTCAACTTCCCCACGTGTCCTCACACTCCTTCACCTGGCAAGGGGAGGGAGAGGCACTCATGCATGTGCAGAGGCACTCATGCATGTGGAGAGGCACTCATGCATGTGGAGAGGCACTCATGCATGTGCAGAGGCACTCATGCATGTGCAGAGGCACTCATGCATGTGGAGAGGCACTCATGCATGTGCAGAGGCACTCATGCATGTGGAGAGGCACTCATGCATGTGGAGAGGCACTCATGCATGTGGAGAGGCACTCATGCATGTGGAGAGGCACTCATGCATGTGGAGAGGGAGCGATATTTGTGACTGCCCATCTTCTCCTCACAATCCCCCCTGGAGTCACCGGCGTGCATTCATAAGCATTCAGTCATAGGCATTCAGTCATAGGCATTCAGCCATAGGCATTCAGTCATAGGCATTCAGTCATAGGCATTCAGTCATAGGCATTCAGCCATAGGCATTCAGTCATAGGCATTCAGTCATAGGCATTCAGTCATAGGCATTCAGCCATAGGCATACAGTCATAGGCATTCAGTCATAGGCATTCAGTCATAGGCATTCAGTCATAGGCATTCAGTCATAGGCATTCAGTCATAGGCATTCAGTCATAGGCATTCAGTCATAGGCATTCAGCCATAGGCATACAGTCATAGGCATTCAGTCATAGACATTCAGTCATAGGCATTCAGTCATAGGCATTCAGTCATAGGCATTCAGTCATAGGCATTCAGTCATAGGCATTCAGCCATAGGCATACAGTCATAGGCATTCAGTCATAGGCATTCAGTCATAGGCATTCAGTCATAGGCATTCAGTCATAGACATTCATTCATAAGCATTCAGTCATAGGCATTCAGTCATAGGCATTCAGTCATAGGCATTCAGTCATAGGCATTCAGCCATAGGCATACAGTCATAGGCATTCAGTCATAGGCATTCAGTCATAGGCATTCAGTCATAGGCATTCAGTCATAGGCATTCAGTCATAGGCATTCAGTCATAGGCATTCAGTCATAGGCATTCAGCCATAGGCATACAGTCATAGGCATTCAGTCATAGGCATTCAGTCATAGGCATTCAGTCATAGGCATTCAGTCATAGGCATTCAGTCATAGGCATTCAGTCATAGGCATTCAGTCATAGGCATTCAGTCATAGGCATTCAGTCATAGGCATTCAGCCATAGGCATTCAGTCATAGGCATTCAGTCATAG